AAGATCTAAATAAAGCTGTCATTCGAAAAATAAAGGGAATTAGATAGACTTGTTGAAATGTCCGTCAGGCACTGATTTCGAGAATAGGCCAAGCCTAGAACTGCAGCGAGGGCTGGAGAAGATATTTACAAACGTATTTTATGATTTTGAATACTAAGCTATTTGAATAATCGGTAAAATCCGTAAAAACGTTTGCGAATTCACGCTTAATTCCGATGAACTTACTTACTTTATGTTATGTAGGAAGCTGTATTTACTTTAGGACGATAAGAAACATGACTGTAAATATCGTCACTCAGCGTCTGAGTTCCCGACCGTTTCGAACTTACTATAGGCCTTTATTCGTTTTTCATTAGGGGTAAATTGTCATCGGTTGGCATTAGCCTAGAGAAAACACTCTGGAAAAAGGATCTCCCCCGGGGGAGAAGTATTTGTCGCATTTGCCGCTTGTTTGCGTACAACTTGTCTAGAGAGAAGACAATTAACAATGAAGTTTATGACTTCTCCAATTGAAGAGAATGGCCTTAAGTGTCTGTAAATCAGTCAAATCGAAAAACAAATTTATATATGTTCAGGACTATTTTTTAAGCCTTTCATGCTCTCAAAGGTTGAATTTGGTTATTAGCTTTGTTGGCTAATTGTAATGTAATGGAATCGGACACATCAAAATAAACATCTTGAATTTTTTCGAGCATGTTCCACACAGCCGGCTAGTATGAAGCAAAGTGTGTCCACGTTCGAGTTTGAGTTGAATAAGGAAGCACGTTTAGCACTGTTATTTGGGCCCTTTGCAATTGCAACTAATATTGATAGTATTTACTATGCAGTTGACCTGACCAAATACGGCTCTCCATAGCACATTAACAATGATTAAACCTAATCAGCCTAGCGTTAAAACGTGGGGCAGACAAGGCATAAAGACGCCTTTTCTCATGAGCGTGGTAAAGCACAAATGGGGGCAACACTTCAACATGAGCAAGCAACAATAGCTCGTATAAAACCGCACTTAGGATAGTTATTGTCAGCGTATTCCTGGTATCAGTTTTAGCTCTGTTAGGCCACACGCTGTTGGAAATTACCGAACAGTATTACAGAGCGCGTCCTCGACCACTTGTCCCGGGAAAAAATGGTGGTTATCATAAAATTCAGTTAGCTCATAAGGCAACGACGGCTTCGTTCATCTAAGGCAAAAGGGAAGCTGAGTAAAGGCCTAATTTGTTGCTGATGCAAACGTTCCTTTACTGGTTGCCTCTAACGAGCCTCAGGGATATGTGAGCCATAAGCCCCATGAATGTGTAGTGGCTACAAATATAACAGCGAAGTATGGTAACCGAACGGGTAGGTAAATCATTCAGGTAATTAGGTTGGTGCTTTAGACCTTGCGCTCGTTGCGACGTGTTCTCAACAGAGGAACCATAGAACGAGATCAAGCGGATGTCCATTTGTCGAGGCGAACCCGGTGCACACAAAGAGATCCGTAGACCACCGATTCTTACTTACGGTGGCTATTATCAGTTTGATCAGTCGGGGAGTTAACTTCTCCCCGGAATACGGTGGTGACAAACAACAACAACAACAACTGACGATAGCCAGAACACACCTGATCCGTTAGTCAGGTCAAGTCGGAAAGCTGACTTTAGGCCACGAACGTGCGCGGACTGGTCTCGTCTTACCAAGCTTAAACAAGCTTTCGAGTTATACGCGGGCCTCGTTTCAACTCCACGTGGAGGCACAGCACAGATAGCCAGGCAGTTGAAGTCTATCCGGTAAGCGAGCAGATTAAAGTGATCTTGAAAACAGCTCAGGATACTGCGGTTACCCACGCTAGTCAAAGGAACGCTAGCTGGAACTATGCCAGTTCCAAACAATCGAAGCAGAATCTATACTTCCGTATGGTTAGCGAACAATGAAAACCAAATACAACCTTTGTGGAGGACAGTATGAACACTTCTCTTACTATCGTTACTGTTGGTGTTATCTAGAGGTACTAGTTTTGGATTCGGTCTTCGTGCAGATAGGTTGATGATGTAGCTGAGACAATCGCTGTTACTGTGGCTGAGATTTAGCCCGCAGCGATCTGATCATAGTTAACAGTTATTCTGCCCGGCTGAATTCGTACAAAAATTATTATATCAAAATTATGCGGCCGTGTCGTTGCTAAAACGATGTCGGCTGGATGACAATTTAACAGAAAATGAATAGTACATGAAAATGCTAGACTTCACTCAGCGAAATTAATTCTTGTGCATAGGACAAATTTGGCCAGAGATCGTGGCCTCGTTTCCTTTCCAACGCAAGATGAGGATCATTGAATCTGCTGATTAATTTTTATACTGCCCAATGCTTTGTCGTTTACCCAGCCGTTTTTGAAAATCTAGCAAATGTTCAATATGACACTCTTTTGTATAATATATGTCGAAAATAAAGATTTAACAAAAATCCTAAAACACACTACTGGGAGGTACCTTGAAATTGATGAAAAAATCAACGACAGGACATAAAAGCGGCTGCCATCGTCTCCTTAAGCCCCGCCAAGGTTCGGCAACGGTCCACCAGTAAGTCATGTATTATTTACTGCTACGTAACAAAGCACGTGCTAGTATGTTTCAATATAGTTCGATGCGTTGTTGTGGAAACGATATCAGCCTGTTAGAAGCCTGCGAGCAGACCATGCTTCGACCTTGCCAAACACTTGGTTTCTTTCAGTGTTAGAATGAAGCTCATGGCTCAGTGTTCGTGAAGTCCTCTATGGCCATCCCATTTTTCCTATAACTGTCACTCAAGTTCACGTAATACAAGTATCATCTAATGACGTTTAGCTAGCTAGAGCAGTGGAAAGGGGCCTGGTGTCAGTCATCAGACACCAGCTGTTATTCTGTTGTGAGCGTTGGTTTTTGTTTTCGCCGATCGTAGCTGTTGTTGTTACTTTGCCCCTGTCATGCTCGATTTGCCATTGAAACAAGTGTTGTTATCGAGCATTTGCCCAAGCCGCTCCTGCAGTCCGCCCATTCTCCGACAAAAACGAACGGACGCCGCCAAACTTCTGGGAGAAAGAGGGAAAAGGTATGCGATGATTGCATGCGCCTTTTTTTTTGGATGCGACTACCATCTGTCACCCGCACCGCGCCGCTGCCGGCACAGTTAGGAGGCGTCCAACCACCACCATCGTTGTAGTTCACCTTTAAGGTTTTGTATCCTATCTCCACCAGCATCACTGGTACTGTCGATGCCGTGACATTGAACGACAGCTGGAAGATGGCGTTTAACTATCGACAAGGAGTCCGGCGGCCTTTTCTCTATGCGCGCTCGTCCTAGCCCTTCTTCTCGTACTTTCCTATGCGCCCGCTCAAACTAGCCTGAAACAGTCGAATCCAAACGAGTAGGTTTGATAGACAACTCCGTCCCTGCGCTGACTTGGGTAGCTTCGCTGAATGTTGTCATTGTAGAATGGGGTCGAACTACAGTCGAGCCGCAACGGTTCGGTAACACAGTTCGTCGCTACTGCTTCTAACTAGTTCAATCGGGGAGGCATTCTATTAGGGTATTTCTGGATGTCCTTAGGCAAATGCGGGGGGCGAGGAGCTGTTCGAGCGAGGGTCTACGGCAGTGATAATCTGGGTGAACCGCAGTGGCTACAATAGCAGCAGCAGCAGCAATGACGGCGCCATGATAAAAAGATAGTCTTCGTCACCATAGATTGCAATGTTGTCTAGTAGAACTGCCATTGACGCCAATCGACGAACCAGCCCGCCACCAAACGTCCGATGACAAATAGACGTCCCTGTCTGTCATCGTTAGCTTTGGTCATACTACTATCTTGGTAGTATGTATGTCGTAGGTACGACCTGCTGGCTTTGTAAAGCTGCGTGAGCTAGTAAAAGTGAGCGAGATCTATTATATAAAGACACTTGCCGCACTTGTCTCTAACGGCAGGCGAGTGTGTCGCTAGAAGCTTCCAATCCTTACTTGAAAACAGGCTGGTCATATCGAGCTGATTTAAAGAAAACTAAGTGGTGATTCAACGGAATCGCAGATAGCATTGCGGATGCTAGTAATTTCAGAGATGTCCTCTGTTATAGGCCTTAATGTGTATAACAGCTTTTCTAATTTATACGGCGTCCGGCATTCCTCTATGCGAAACTGACTGCTTGGAGTCACCTCGTTTTCCGTATAGCACTGCGCCTCACTACAATGGCAACCAGGATAGACCTGGCTGGATTTATTTAGATTTTTTTTTTGACAAACTTATGAGAAGATACAGCAACCGTACCAGCAGCCATTAAGCTAATTTCTGGTAATAATTATTTTTGCCAACGCATTTGCATACTTGTTCATTCATGTCAAAAGGATGCGCATTAGCCCCGTTGACCGCGCCGTATAATATCGGACGCTGTAACGTGTTGATGTGAAGCGCCGTCCTTAACGAGGTCCTAAACCTAAACGAATGAACAATTTCGTATTGTAGGCCTTGTGTGCATTTGGACGCGGGACATGTTGAACAACTGTCCGCCGCAACAAAATTCAAACCGTTCTCCAACCCTTGGAGGGATTTTTGTATGGTATTACGACGTTCACATGATTAGGGTAACCACATTTTTATAACACGTCTAGCGAAACATCCGCTCGAAACGTTGATAGGCATCCATTGGATGTCCCACTAACACGGCATAAAGATCTGTAACTCTCTGAACTCCCGGTGTATTGAAAGGTAAAATTTAGGTTAGGCGCTGCGGTTCAATATTGCCTTAGATTCCTTGTTTGTGATGTTTCTACCTTATAAACATACTGTTCATATATTGTCCAGGATAACAAAAGTCAAATCTGTTCCACATAGGTGTAGCTCAGTCGTATACAGCTGCATATAATTATAATCGACCTGCTATTTTACCATGTGCGGCGCAGTCGTTTCCTCATTTCGGCACTTATCGGGATTGAATCGTACTTCCCAGCGTTGTTTTCTCCCTCCTAACGTATTGCTCTTTTCCGTCGTTCATTTACAGGTGTTTTCGTATTCACTGCGGTTGTTTGTGCAGGCGGGTTTAACGGATGAATTGGCGCAGTGCGCCAACGTGGGAGTCGGTGTTGTGATGGTCCTTATGACGCTAGTGTCCATTCCGCTCATGGACCGAACCGGCAGGCGGACCCTGCACCTTTACGGCCTGGGTGGCATGTTCATCTTTTCCATATTTATCACCATTTCACTACTCGTTAGCGTAAGTCGCAGCTTAGTCAGCCCTTCGGATACGCAAGCATCACCTCGCAGTCGATTGTTGAATTTGCAGATAACGTTACGACGGCAGAAAGTTTATCGAAGCCGTCAGGTAGACAAGGGCACGTATAGAATTCGGAAATTAATGACTGTGGACTTACTCAATGAAAATCTAATACTATCTGAGGGACCCTGGAGCGAAACGTTCCCGATCGATATTAAATCGATATAAATGAGCAAAAGTACTCAGGTGTTGATTTGTTCTTGATGCATTATCGAGAAATGGATATATTAGAGACTTGCCCCTATCGTCGTCTAAATCGGTCCTATTGCTACAAACGAAACATACCTATTTACACTCTCGGTCATGACTAAGATTACGATCCTTGGTTTTTCTTCTGGGACATTAGATTTCCACTTTCAAAATTATGTAGAACCTTTTCGTTCTCCTCTATCATTTATTTAACCATAATTCTGCTGTAATTTTGCCTGCTTTAGCTATTAGTAGTGTAGTATGATATTCTCAATTTTTTTTTTTATAATTCTTGAAGCTTTCAAAAACAGTCACATCTACCATAAACCCAATTTCCTATGTATACATTTAATTGTTCCGAAAAATATTCCCATTCGGTGGAAAGGAGAATAAATTGGATGCTTTCAACTGTAGATAGGAAGCGATTGCCGCAAAAATTACGGCAAAGGATATAATTACCACCACTAATTAAGTGGGTGTAAAAGAATCTTTAGATGCGTTTTCCTCATCGAGATATCCGGAGAAGAGCCGATATTAGAGCGACTTCTTCAAATTATTATTGCAACGTGTCGTTCATCAATTGAAATATATTTCATATATATTGTATCTGATTTAAGGACTTTGTCCTAAGTAACTTGAGTTGGTTAATATAAATGTGGACGTTACTATGCGCTTACGTTCAGTTTGATTGGATAGACGATGTTCTGATCTGGCATCATTCTTAGCAGACTGCTATTGCTACTATTACTATTGTTTCCGCATGTATTGCTGAGCTTTGCACGACACATACCTATTAATCTACAGCCGAAGTTCGACTGTTGCGTAACATCGAAAGATCAAAAAGAAACAAATGAAAGAGGCGGGCTGTACCATATGTATCATTGTTTTCTAATATATATAGTGTGTCTGTGCGTGTGTGCTTGCCCTTTGGAAGCTGACGCTTACCTTGCACGTCATGGAACGTGGCAAAGTAAGGATTGGCTGCACTGAACGAGGGACTTATAAAGCTGTTTTGTGCCACGCAATATGCGGAAACAGGTTGTCGCGCTAGTCTAAACTACATAATAGAACACTGGCCACTGCCACAGCCATTTATCATGTTTAGGTTGGATTTAAATATCCGAAAGCAGAGCGCATCCATACAATTCAGTTTTAGCTTGGATACGGCGTTTGTAGCAAATACAGAACGGCTGAAATTAAAGCTCAATGATAATTTTTCGATGACACTAAGTGGTACCAATTTTCGCTCTAACTGCTCCTCGCAAGTTCGGGAAAACAATCCCGTTCGTACTGAGATCAGATCGAATTCATATCATTTTCGCAAACTTTTTTTTTACGGAACTACGAAGTACTAGAAATACGCGTTCGGGTAAAAACAACTTTTTTGGCGGCGTCTGCTCTCTATGATTCATGTTGACTTTGTTGATTCTAGCCAAATATACGTTTCTCACATTGTTCTCTAACTGGCTACCTTAGCCACTATGTGTCACTGCAAGGTACAGTAGGTAACTCAACTGAACAGAGTACATCTGAATAAATGATTTTTTCCCAGAAGCATTGCTTGTGCACAATCTAAATGGCCCATATGTATTTACCTGCTGAACTGATCGCCTAATACTGTGTATATACATGAACATTTAGTTCAACGTCAAAGGTGCATGTTACTTTCTCACTCACGGACATACTCTGCGTGACATGCGGCTTTGACACAACACTGGCCGCTATACACAACATCACCTGTTGCTTCGAGTTCTGATTGCAGCACCCGTTGAGAGCACCTCGTTCCTTAGCCGACTTTTAGAGAACCCTGGGTAGCCCACGTACCTCCTTAGTTGCACCCTTCTTTACGATCACATACCCAGATGCACGTCGAGAAATGTGGGCGTACTGGGCAGCTCAGTGACTCATCCATATTGCCCCACCGTAGCAACAGCGCCCTGTCACGCGTGCTTCTGTGAGGATCTCACGTAGCTTATGTGCACATGGAAACGTGTGTTGTCCAAAGAGTCGCGGAGGGGGATATTTTCGCAATGGTAAAATGCGTAACAATGGACAATCAAAACGGAAAAAGTGGGTGATGTGAAGCGGGTAGTGTGGAAACCTAATGAAAAACGCTTTGTCTACCCCAGGCTTTTTGTGTTCTCCATTCGTTTACAACTGCATGGATCTGGCGACGACGAAGACCTCAGGAGCGTTTTTTCTAGTATTTTTCCCTTCGCGCTCAGTACTCAGTACCGTTCTCTCATTCACTGACTCGCCAAAAGGTTTTTGACGCCTACTTCGTAGCCACGGTAGTGGCGGATCAGTCAGCTTTTCTGTTCTTTTTGTTTCGTCCCGTTTGCACCAGTCGGTTGTTTTTGATAGTGCTTATTACAGTAGGGTCATGGAGGGATAGCTGGTTCTAGCATTGCCCAATGATGCCAGAAGGAAGGCTCTCTGTCAGTTAGCCACGAGCAAAAGTGTGGATATTAATAGGTTTTATCGGATGCATTTTCGCCATTGGCGGATCCACCCATGGGTCGAAGCTTGTGACCTTAGACTGCTTCGGTTATCTTTTACGGGTTCGTAATCTTCTTCTGTCATGCTGGTCCTAAATGTGGTTGCGCTATCAGGCTATAGCAAGCTTCATTTATAAGATATGATTGATATTTGCCAGCATTTTAGCGACAATATACTTACTATTGTCGCAATAAGATTCGACCACCATCAGCTGCACCGATAGTAACCGCCGAACATAAACTAAATTTTGCCGCTTGCTTAGAATAGAGCGACGATATGTAGAGCATTCCATGATGCTTGTTTTTGATACTGATATACTTTGCAGTAAAAAATAATTAGGTTATGCTTCGTTGACAGGTGTTTTGATTCATAACGATTAATAGAAGATGCAGGTTTCAATCCTCAGATGTTTATTTAAAGGAAACATTGTCACAAAATTAAAACGTTTCTTACTAATCGTCTTTGATTAAAGGTAATTCTCTTTCTATTTATAGCAAAATCATACATTTTCTGCCGCAAGTATTGTTACCTTTTTTGTGATGTCTTTCTCTGATGTTAGGCTTTAAGAAACCCAGCATAATGAAACGCTGCTTTCCGTAGGCCTCACCTGCACTGTAGCCTGAACTACGAAAAAAAAAAACCAGCAACCCTCAAAAAATACCTAGCTCATTACGAGCTGATTTGGCGTAGGCACATTGAAGAGTATCAGAAAAATAGTTTTCAATATGCGCAGTCGATCTTTGCGCCGTTAGCATGTGGGCGGCAGTAGGGACATTTTCATTGACTCCAAGATGATAAGGCGTTTATAAACTTTTTCGGTCCTAGCGACGAAACTGATATCTTATACAGTGCAAAATGGTCAAAATCTCGTGGGCAAGTCGCATGAAATGATCTATTTTTTCATGGTTTGTACATCTCCAACCGATCTCCAATCCAAAACGCTGCGGGATCCCCCTCTCCCCCACCCCCCTCAGAACGTGAAGCTTATGTCGAAACTTGCAGTTACGGGCGCAAGCTTGTTTGTTGCTCATCTTCATTTAGCAGAACGCCTCAAGAGAGAATTACTTTGTTTTCGAGGATATCACAGCGCTGCAATCGCGGCTGTCAACGCTATAGGTATTTTCTCAGAGGGCATAATTCTTTTTTTGGCTAAAGTAAACTCACGTTTTTTTTTCTCAGAATACCATGCGTTGTCTTGCAATAGATCCATCCATCCATCCGAACACACACACACACAACTACACGTATATGAATATGATGGTGCATCAAAACAGTCGTTTCCTTGCATAAGTGTCCAGTAAGGAAGTGCTTTATGGGTAACCTCGCCGTGGTGATGGCAAGACGCGAGAGAAGTATCGGACGCAAATAAATGCTGGTTTTAGTAACTTGCCTAGATTATAAAGTACGAAAGTATGAATACGTACGTAGAATAACACCTACGAAGGCTGTTCAATGTTCAATCAAACTAATCGAATATTGTGACCATAACAATATTTATTATGTTTTTATGTTTCTTTAGTTATTAGGCAGGATAGTGTAGACAATGGGTCACTCTTAGGTTATCTCACTATTGCTCCCGTTTGCGTTTGTGTTCCACAGTTCTTGTACAGCTGGATCACGTATATGTCCGTAGTATCGACGTTGGCGTTTGTCATATTCTTCGCTATAGGTCCAGGAACGATTCCATGGATCTACACCGCCGAGCTATTTGCACAAGGCCCTCGCCCAGCTGCAATGGCCGTTGGAGTACTAGTTAACTGGAGTGCAAACTTCTTTGTATCACTTATCTTTCCGTCTATGCAGGTGTGTACGTTACGACTAGTGTAACAGGCAGACGCTTCGAAAAATAACGATAAAAATTGAATCGAGTTATATAATCAAAAACCTTGTTGTCAAAAAGGTTGTTGCTAGGCGGAAGTGATTAGATTGTTGTCAATCAAGTTTGCGCTGTAAGCAAGGTCATAAAATATTAAACATTTCTTCGTTTCCTTTCTAACGATTCCGATGTTGATTACGGAAGAGCTGGCGCGTAACACTGCCTCAACAAAAGACGCCATCGGTCTGTTAGGATATCTCGCTATATATATATATGTATGTATGCCAAACGTATATATATATATATATATATATATATATATACGTTTGGCAAACGCTTTCTCTCGCGTTATATACAATTGGGCGCTTCCATCTGAGACAGGACGGTATTCACCACTTGGAGAAACGAAAATTTCGAGACGGAGATAACAGAAGAAATTGTGTTCGCTGCCGAGATTGTGCAGGCACTGTGCGAATCTTAGGTGCTATATATATGTATACAGAGGAAAAGGAAAGTGCAAGATGAAACTTACAGTTTCCTTCATCAAGCCTACGGACTGCTAACGGTTACGATTGTCTAGGACAATCCTGATTCGCTTACAGCAATCGAAGAGGACGTAGAACGAGAAGCCGGCAGGTACCGCGTACCAAAGAGAGAAATCGGCTTTGTCACAGGTTTGAACCTCTTCGTATCTGACCTTAGGCTATCTGTTTAGTCAAAGTCGACCGCAAAAGAGGAACGGTCTTTTTCTTAAGAAAATGCTACCATGTGCCAAGCTGATTCAATCCTCGTCTAACAATCACACCTTAAAGGGGACCTATCATCAAAGGACATGTGCATTGATGAAGTGCCCATTGCGTCAACGGCTTATTTGTCGATACGCGAGGATCTAACGTATCGATCGGTCGGCCACAAGTTCGTGATTTTAATGCAGCTCCTTTAAAAAAAATTTTTTCCTAGCATGCTACTGAACTAGCTGCTGAACGGTGCACCCATACATCATTACATGAGCCTGTTTCAGTACGATAACCCTATCTAAGAAGAAAACAACAACGAAAAGAAAGAAAAACGTCTGACACTCCGAGTCGAGCCACGAAAATTTGCTTCAGCCCTCGTAACAGCAACAGTAGAAGCTGCCTATTCAAGGATTGAGCTGGTATTAAATAAAAATGAAAAGAAGTACGTTTCGGGAAAAACAGACAACACATAGTACCATAGTACCATTAGTACCATTAGTAAAAACACAAGGCACTGGGATTATTGCGCTGACTGAATTTTATACAATAATAAAAATTCAAACAGAGTAGAGAGTAGGTTCTTATTGGGTGGCGGTTATAGTTTTTTTTTCGTTTTAGTGTGATTGATTTCTGGGATAGCTACAATTTTTTCTTTTACAGTCATAATTGATATTTATCGAAAGATTAATAGTCAATTTTTCTTTTAAGATTTTTCAACAGCGACGTATTTTTGAAGACCAGCTATTTATGTATTTCAGAGGCCCCTAACGCCGTGTGGAGAATTCGGCCGTTTGCCATTCGACGGCACTTATAAGAAAAATAAATTTCCAGATGTTCTTCAATGATGAAAAATGAAAATTTTGAATGTTTTGCTGACTCCATAGTAGGTGTCTGATTTGATGAGAGTAGCGTGCGAATTTTTTAAATAGTTTTTTTAATAGACTTTTAACAGTGTGACGTCTACTGATTTACCTAACATTGACCATTGTGTACGCCTTTGTACATTCTTTTGTCCTGCGCATCTTCTGCCTTCTTTCAGGAGGCGTTCGGTGACTATACGTTTCTACCGTTTACGGCGTTGCTCGGGCTATTTTGGGTGTTCACCTACCGCCGGGTGCCGGAGACCAAGAACCGAACCTTCGACGAGATTGCCGCCCTTTTCCGCCAGCAAGGCTCGGAATCTTCTCAATCCCGCTCCCATGGGGGTGGGGGTATTTTGAGCTGTGCGAGTGCCCCGGCGTCAACCGGCGGCGTGGCCAACCGAGGTTCGCAAGCTGTCACGAATACTCGCTCACAATCACAGCCGGTCACGCCGACATGTCCACACCAACAGGGCACAACGCCTGGGCATCTAATCCACTCTGGCGTGCACAACCATAATCACAATCACATTGGATATGGCCATACCCAACTACCCCAGCAGCACGTGGTCATTAACACGAATAACGGAGGTATGAGCAGCATGACAGAAACGGAACTGCATGGGAGGGCTGATTGAAGCCTGTAGCTTCATGGTGCTAGTATGACCGCGTTCCGGAAGTCCTAGTAACCATATTACCGTCTATCATGAAACGCTATGAAAAAAATGCTGATTATCATTTTCTTGAGAAAACCTGTATTGCTTAAGCCTTCAAGGTACTGTAAGCCGCCATAAAAGAAATTACACCAAAAAGTATGTGCCATTGTTATTGAAAATTTACTTAGACATTTTTAAATACCATATTTTTTATTATATTTTATACCATATTTTTATATCATATTTTAAAAACCATCTTTTGCTTTTTGATTGTGTACTGCTGCTATCCGAGATTTCGGAATGACTTTCACTGATAATTAATAGCTGAAGACTGTATATTGATGCTGGCGAGACGTCTTGGAAAAAAAAAGCTAAAGTTAAACAAGAATCCTCTAGTGTAATGTTGCCCTATTTTTTTAAGGTATGCTTTTATATATAGGGTGAAAAATTAAAATTCGTACAAACCCTAACGGTTTCCTTGTCGTAATGGCTACGCGTTCACCCGCTACTCTTGATACTGCAGAAAAAACAGTTTTATTTAGAATAAAACAGTAAGCTAGCGGTGAAAGGCAACGTGTCGTTCCCTGAATCGGTGCGAAAATCACCTATTATCCAATATGTTTACGCAAAACATCGAAATCTTAGTCTTTTTGGGACTTTCTACGCTTTTATTAGCCCAAGGTCTAATTGCGCTGGATTTTTCTTTATATAGCATTAACAAGTTTACACCTGCCAATATGGCTTAGAGCGCGGTTACTTTTTTTTGAAAATATTTATATTTTCGAATTTTGAAAATATATATATATTATATATATATTTTTGAAAATGATTACCGAGAGGGATATTACCTGTAATGGAAATGTAATCGTGACGAAGAATGCCTATTTTGAGCAAACAGCACCATCAAAAATGGCGCGTTTAATACATGCTAAAGATGTAGTGAAATACACCTTATAGATAATCTGATTTTTAGAAACGACCTCGGAAAAATGTCCAGACCTAGATGCTCCATCCTGTATAGGTATGTTCGTACTTCACACACGCGAAACAACTTTTTGTCCGCACGTATTTTTAGTACAAGTAGTATCAAGACACGTCCACATTTTGAAAGGATTTACGTATACCATGGATCAATAAACATTTGTCACATTATTTTGACAAACACATCTAGTTACTAATCATCAAGATGACCTTTCCTAACTGTTTCGTATAGAAGCTAACACCGAACGCCACAAATCATAACATAACAATCATCTTAGATATTGCCCATGGTTATTTTTATGACTATTATAAGTGTCAGGAGCCGCCCAATACTGGTCATACAGGATTTGCTTATCTAACCTAAGGAGAATTCGTTGCAGCTGTACTACCAACCTGATGCACTATCTCTGTATAGCTATCGTTGTCCTTATTGCAGTTTTTCTGTTGCAATCGGCCGGTTATCCTGTTTCAATAACCCACTGCGTTTCTAAGTCGTTCCACTGCTTCACTGCATTATCCCGTTACCCTTTTTACCAATTCGATCACGTTGCTTCGGTAATTCCGTCGTTTTGCCTCGATCCTCCGGTTACTCTGAATCAGATGTTTTACTGTTGCGCCCAAAACCTATAACCTTATCGCCTCTGTTAATGATTTGGTATATTATTAAGATATCACTATTTTGTTATTTACGCGTTACTTTATGGCGACTTACGTTACGACTATTTCGCTATTTTAAAATCGGATTGCCTGTAGTTTTCCAAACTTCATGCCAAGGTAGGCTTTTTAAGCAACATTCCCTACAGAGAACATGAAATTCGAGTCTATGAGAAAAAAAAAATCGCTAAAACCAATTTTTTTAAAAAGCAAATTTTTCCCTTTATACAAAAGGGAAAAAATCGTATAAAAAACGGTAAAAAAAGAGTATTGAGCTTCAAGATTATAGCATATCGAAATGTTAGAGCCACGAACGCTCAACTATTGAGTAAAAATCTTCCCAAATGTTTTTCAGTTTACTATAGTTGTAATTGAGTACATGATTTATAAACGCATATACACAGATATTAATATATATATATTTACGCAGCACTTTTCGTTGAATGAGGAAGCGATTTTCGTCTGCTAGGCAAAATAAATCGTTAGGCTGAATTAACAACGTTCAATTTTATACATTTTGGATTTTATACAATCTTCATTTTCAGCCCTTGAGTACAATTTACCTATTCACCAATGCTTGAGTCGAGATTTTAAAGCAGTTCGTTTTTATGTAAACATATGGACAATTTTCTGTTCTTCACCCCGCATCCAACTCTTGCCACAATGATGTCCTCTAGATCCCATCTGACATTCAATAAATGTCTCAAATTGAGCTTCATACTTGCAAACGTTGTACATAAGAAATTTTACGTAAAACTAAAGCAACTGTCTTCAAGCATTACATAGTATAACGTAATATCAGCGTAGCGCATACGCCTTTGCATTATTAGCAGGTCACATCGCCTCTCCAAGAGACAACGCAAGCTTAGGTCCTTTTACCCATCAGTTACTCAATCCTCTGTATCTAAACAAAGCTCCAAAACAAACATGTTTACAAAAATGATAATTCACTCATAGTACACACACGCATTCAATGCGCGGAAAAAATCATTTTTCCTAACGATCTTCAACGTGACTGTTTTACTTCGTTCGCACGCTGCTCGACAAATTTCGTGGATTTTTTGTCGTCTCTTTCGTTGTTGCTGTGGCAAATCGTACACTCCATTAAACCAACTATCTAATCCCATCGAACGATAGGAATGATGACTATTCCACGACGAAGCAATTCCGTCATAGCCGTTCAGCAACACTCATTTCATCACGACGTCATCGACAGCAAAGATAGTTACCGTGAGTCTAGGGCTTGATTAGCAGTCATTCATAAACGGATAGACAGGCGTTTGTATCGAGTCCTTTTTTTGTCAAAGCATGATTATATTTGTTCCTTTCGAGTATTTGTAATTTTTCTCTTCGTGCATGTCATACTCGGTAGAACGTAGATTAATTTTGAAATTGTGCTCGGTTGATGCGTGGTACGATTCTGATTCCAAACGGGCCACAACAAGAACAATTCCTAAAGACTAAACATATTATAGGACGCTCGATCGTGGGTGGGGGTCATTAAAAGCTTCGCATGTACATGGCGTAACATTTCACCAAATCCTGATGTCATTAACAAGCACAAAAAATTGATCCAAGGACCCTCGACTCTACCTGAATCACTCCTTCATCGCATATGGGCCCTTACCGAAACCCGGTTTTTGTCTTGATTAGATTTAAGCGGAAACATTTTATCCACTTGCAAGCAATGCGTTTAAACATTTTGATGACTATTCACTATCTCCGACCTGCTTACCCGCTTGACATACATAGCCTGCTTTAAATTTTAAAAAAATACTAAAAAAATATATATATATATATCTTAATTACTAACAAATAGCGAGATAACAGAGCGTAATGTTAATCAAAGCGAGATGCATTTGTTTCTTTTGTTTGTAATGGATTTCTGTTCAATTTGGATATATCTGCAATTAGTTGAAGATTTGAAGTCTGGAGGAACTCCTGCAAAGCTATTCCTCCACTCAATAGGTAGCTAAATATCCTACCTAACTTCAGAAGCGTTTTCGCGCACCTTTCACTATACATCTTTTAATAACGCTTAATTCTCATGCCTGAAACTCACGTCAAATTTCGTGGACGGATAACATTCAATAGACAGCAAATTTAAAATATTTGTTGTTAAAATCCATTTTTGTCAATAGAAAAAAAATGCGGAGACAAAAAATGTTTTTGATAGATATTGTAACAATATCTCAATGTATATCCGTTGACCTAAGTATGTCTTATTCATATATTGACAATATATTGTCTTTGATTTTACAGTTATTTGAAATTTGGTCTTCTTTATTTCATCAATTAAGCTATGTCCACCTTACGGCGCTTGGGCGCGTAACTAACTCACTTAAACCCCGAATGTATGTAACTCCGTCCATCAATAAGATACATGCGTAACTGTTTTACAGTGTGATATTGTGATATCCGCCAACAGCTGAAGACAAATCAATCCAGATAAAAATTGTTTCAGCGATCAATAATACGTAAGCCACATAGAAATCCTTTTTATTTAACAAATCATTGCAATACCATACAAACACGTAGTAACCTGATTGAAATTTTTCAGTCTTATCGACCTAGCTATTCTTGAACTGGACGTACTAAGTGACTTTACACAGACCTCAAACACACGAACGTAGGCTCGAATTAACCCACATCAGGACTTGCGCATAAACAATCGTAAACATTGATCTGCTACAAACGTCTTTTACGCTGAAAGATGTTTAACGCTTTCGTAGTAAAAACAGAGTTTCGTGATTTGCCCCTTACTATTGCTGCTGATACATGTTTGTTGGCTCTTCTAGTCGCCAGCTTCCCGACGTTAATTTTGTGCTTCGTTTCACGTCGCTAAAGGGTACTTCTAGCCAGCCTTAATAATCAGTCGCCTTGGTGCAAATTTTTTATTTGTTATTGCCCCCCCACATACTCTGGCTGGGAGACCCACACCATATCGTACGATGCTATAAAACTAGTAGCTAGTGAACGGGTTGGATGAAAGCGTAAGTCTCATTGTATTTTGCTTATTCTATTCTGTATAATATGTGAAAAAAGCACCACGACCGTAGGGTGCTTGTAGAGGTAATACTTGAAGAAGCTTAATCTGAATCTAATCTCGAAAGAATTCTTGAAAAAAATCCGTTTTCCTTTTGCTCTGACAGAAACAATGGTGAACTTTATACACAAAGGGTTATTCCGGCCAAGTGCTCAAATCAGGATATGCATAATAAACGGAAACCTTCGACTATTGTTATCTGATCCGAAAGCTTATAGCTGGGTCAAAAAGTGGATTGAAGGTCTATCCTAATATGATATTCAGGGTAACAAATATCTCGGTAAATTTAGGTCTACAGAAACTCGGCAAAAGATCTGCACAGGTAGTGTGAATATCAGGGCTCAATAGGCCGAACACATTCCCAATGTGAATCGAAAAAAACATGCAGAAGCCCAGTGTGCTTGGGATGTCTAGCACTTAGGTTCTGAATTTGCGCCATAATATCAGTAGCTAACTCGGAAGCTTAGGCGGCAGACAACGCTCTCTCCACGAACTCCAGTAGAATGGGTGCGGCATAAAAGAAGAAAAACACAGTGTAAGGAAATAAAGTGTAGGTTGTTTTCTTGCTTGAATGATAGGTGTGACCAGACTAAGCAAAATAGAAACTCATCTAAGACTCTCTCTTTCCCTTAGAGAAAAAAACAGAGGAAAACGGGGCATAATAGTAAGGCAGTGGAAACTACCTTTGGCCGATTAAAGATAAGGGACGCACAGATATTTACACGCTGGAACCAACAAAGTACGAAACGAGATCACGGCAGGCCGGGTGGCTCAGGTACCCGGCGCAGTTGCGCAAAAGTACGTCATGAAGAAGAGGAACAGAAAAACAAATGTGCGACCCAAGTCCAATGTGCAAGTTGTTCAAGGAGTTGTTGCAAAAACGTAGGTCGCCCTCCCCGCCATGTTCTCAACTGAGAGATACAAGCAATGGACCCGCTACGGGCTCTGGGACTATGGGGCTGCTCACTGAGGGCAATGCTCTAGTCCACAAAAACCCATAGGAACAGGAAGAAAAAGAGGTGAACTTAGAAAATATTCTCCGAAAAGAAAAAAGGACCTTCATAGGGGCAACAGACGGATGTCCAGGGCGTTTCGTTCCCTCCACAGGGGAAGTGGCAAGGATAGCAGTAGGCGCAAATGATGCCTATTGTGAAGAATGAAAAAGAGAGAGAGACGTAGTTAGGCGTGGACGTACGTAGACGTACACAGTAAAGCTTATCAGTGTTGTATGTTTTAGGTGTTGAAATAGCTGCGTTAAAGAAAGAGTGCCTGGAGACCGAAGAGGCAGCCAAACAAGGAGATGTTATAAACGAGAAACGGGCATAAGGTAACGAAGAAAAGGAAAACGAAAGAACGAAATAGATATAACTACGAGTGGAAATACAGTATGGGAAATACGGGGGGACAGCTGAAGTGACAGGCGTACAGGGACGTGCAGGAGAGAAACGGAGAAGGATCCACTGCACGAAAACAACACGAAACCTCTAGTCCGAAAGAGATTGCTGCTAGTAACACTGCATAAAAGAAACGACGATGGACGTGGCGGCGAATGAGAGAAGCAGTTTTGAAAACGTAAGGCCCAACTCTAGAGTCGTTGGGTTGGATGGCTAGTTGGCTGGTTGGAGAAGAACCTGGTGTATTCATAAAGGGTTAGTGGAACGGCGCGGGTAAAACAAGGCAACAAACAAGTGAGAGAAATCTAGGACCACGGAAGGCCTAAAAAGGTTTGGACTCTTGAAAGAGAGACACGTCGACTAAGGGAGACCACCAGTTTGAATGTTGAGAATCACATGTCACCAAAATTACAGGGGTAATTATTACGAGACCCAGGTTGGCCGAACTGGGTAAGCTGTAGACGACTAAGCTGAACTACGACAGTGAAGACCTCAAAAAGAGGATATTAACTGAAATTGAGATGGGGAAATGCAACGTGGTTGTCTGCTCCTGATAGACGACCTCGTCGCCTCAACACCGGTGCGACGAAAGAGGGTCGACAAAGGCGTTGAACCTGCTGTTGCAGCGCTCTGTGTCGTACCCAACAGTATCAGACCAACGCAATCATTATGGAAGCTTGCAAACATGCGCATAGGAGTAAAAGGACGAGGCCTTAATACGGAAGCAACGACCGTACAGCCGATCCAGTGCCTGTTTCTGAATTTATAGGGAGCTACTGGGCTCCGCATGCCTGGCTTGCCGCACCGCTGCGAGCCCAAACCGCGCCGTCTGCAAATCTGCTGCACCAGTCTGTATAATTGAAATAAGATAAGCACTCCGCCGGAGTCTGCAGCTGCTGCAGTTGCTGGCAGTTCCGTCACTATCAACATCCGGTAGTGGCGTGTCGAGGAAGGCGATAAGGAAAGCCTGTATGGGCGACAGGGACCTGGAATAGTGGCTGTAGACGATTACGTCAACGCTGGCGACAGCATAAACACCTGGGAGAAAGTCCACTTTGCAGTGACAAACCTTCATTCGCTGATAACGCAGTCAACGGTTTATCGCAAGCGTCATATGTGGCCCTACGACTCTCACTAACATCTCAGTGTACCGTGCGTAGATAACACGTGCAACTGGGAAATTTTCTTTCTTGCGAGAGACGTTAAACAAGCAAGACATTGAACGATTGGTGGGGATACGATACTACAGTAGTCCCTACCAGGCAGGAGCAGCTGATTAGCTAATTGGGTTCAAATCGTTGGAAAACGTGGAGCAGGCGATATGAGAGAGCCGCGAGATGTGGAAGAATATGGAGGAACAATATAACGGAGCAAGGAGATGTGTCGGCACTGAGAACAGCGATTGATGGTGAAGGAAAGCACGGAAGGAACTACAGCGCGAAGTACATAGGACCTTAGCATAGCAATTCCGGTGAACAAACCTCACAGCTGGCGATATTTATTGTAATTGCAATTGTTCGTACCGATTACTCTAGCATCTGCTCCTTTTAAGTGCATTCCGGTACTGTTAGGACAGTTTTAATATGTTATGTCGGAAGGCCGGTAATCGTGCATGCTAATATTGATACGTACGCAACGGAGCAGTTTGCCCATAAATTATGTACGATAATAGGAAGTTTGGGTTTCTTCTGTTGTTCCCTTTTCGCTAGAAGAGAGCTATCTGCTTTTTTTTTGAGTGTTATTTTCTCTCCCATAATTATGCATTTAGTTAGTTTGATAAGTATCGCGGCAGTCGCTTGACTACGTGCGTTTTTATCGGTGATGACAAATATAGTGATAAGAGAAAGCTAGTTACTGCTCCGTTAATGAATCTTCTCTTGCTTTAGAATGCCTATGGCTCTCTCCCCCTGTGTAAGTTGTGTTTACTGTTGTATTATAACGATGAAATCATTATTCCAATAATAAAAATGCATCATTTGCAGGGTCTGAGCTTTAGATGGCTTTGACGACTTCAAATGTGTTCCGACGTTTCTCTGCACACCTATGTAGTTCAAAACACTTATTCGGTATATAGTATTGAGCTTATAAAGCAGTGAATTTGTGCACACACGAAATCCTTTTTGATTCTACACGTCCATAGAGCTTCTTCAACTCACCTAGTTAATCAATATATTTTACTATCACTCAAGAGCCAAAGCATTGTTCATGCATAACTCGTTCATAGCCCACTAGTTGTATATAAACATTTTAAAGCGTTTTATGATAATTTCTGATTTCAGTAAATTTTGCGTTGCACTTTGTGCATTTCAGCCACTCCTATAACAACAATCTAACAAACGACGCTTGTAATCCTGATTGGCTATCCGTGTTTGACTTCTTTTCTCTTTCTTCAGTCCCCATCATCATCATCAACTTGTTTACCTTCGTTCTTCTTTTCTTCTTTCATCTATCCCGATCACCTTTCTTTGGCCGTTTTCAGACTGTCCACGCTCAATGACATCACATCCCGGCGGAATCAGTCAGGTGGGCAGTCATTCGCACCACAGCCTACTTCACCATTCCCATGCTGCGCCAATGTCGTCAACCGGTCCACACTCACCAGCGGCCCCGGTAACACCGCTGATTCCGTTACCACCGTTGACCCCGTTGCCACCGACGATACAGCAATTGCCACCGCCGCAGCAGTACTACTACCCAACGTTGTTCAGCCACCCGCCATGCCACAACCGAATCCACAAGGAACTCAACTGTACCGCAGTCGTAGCTGGCTCAGGTTCTGTGCCCTACATGTCAAGGCACCCGTCGCACGACCACCTCTAGCCAGACGCCTCGCCGGCATGGGGCCTGGCCACCGCTTCGGATCAGGAAACACCGTTAATGTTCGCCTTTCCCGATGCCAGTAATACGGCTGAACCCACATCGCCGGCGATGCCGATGACCGCGCCATCAGCTGCGACGATGCTGCATCTGCATCAGCTCAAAGGGATCCTTAAGGTAGAGGCAAAAACAGAAAGCGAGAGAAAAAATGCATGTGATAACGCGCTCTGTCTTATAATTGCGTGCCCCTTTGTGGCATTACTCTCAGCATCCGTAATAGAAGTTAATGAAATATTTATATTTGTTAATCTCATCCAAAATCTAGTTGTCCACGAACATTTAAGGATTTGAGTGGTGACTCGATATTACCGTCCGCTATCATGAGTATGGGAGATTTCCTTGGAAATGATTAGCGAACATTTACTATTCATGGGTCAGTCAGGATGAGATGACACAAACGTTGCTAGACGTTTGACTACTAAGTCCCGAGTTGGGTACTCTGGTGGCATCAAAATTGGTCCTTAATATTATTGTTAGATCTGATTGAAAGAAACAAGACGATCTCTAGGAGGCTCGATAGCCTGTTAATAAAATATATCTACCACAGTTTACCCGAAAACACGTTTTCGCTCCCGATACTGAAGTAAGATTATGTTCACCTCAATCGGGCTACTGTAGCATTTCTGCTTCATCTCAGCCATCGTCGGGGTTAGAACACTCATAGTAGTTTTGCTACGCGTTTATCTTATACCGCTCGCCAAGGTTATTAACTCTCGGTAAAGCAAACGTCTTTAGACAATTTGAAAAAGCTATATGACAAATAGATACACGCAACATGCATATATATTGTCCAAATGTAAAATGAAGATTAAAACTGTTAAGTTAGTTCTGTCTTACCCTCTGTCAAGAGACATTGGGGACTGACATTCGATGAAGGTAGATACCGAGCATTGAGTGTGACAGGCAAGATAACAGTTAAAGACAATATGCATAAATCTTCGTACTGAAGGATCTGTCTAATCTGTCCCGTTCGGTTGTACATATACGCAATTCTTGCATTCAGCTTATTCTATTGATATACATAGGTGTAGATATGGGCACAGAAAATAATTTTCTTTAATGTAAAAATCACTTGAAAAACCAAACATTTCAAACACTTCAAAAACAAAACATAGCTCGAAGGACAGTTTTGGTATTTACCCAAAGAAAAAATCTTGTTGCCAAGCCTGATGCGTGTGCCATCGCCTAAAATCACATCTTAAACATTTCAAAGCTTGACAGAATACCTTCTACGGATTTCTTTAAGTAACAGTGAAAAAATTGCAGCTCCATTTCCTGAAAATAGGATAAGTTCCAGATCATCGCTTCTGAAAACGAGCCTATTTTGAAGCAATAATAGAGCCGAACACGATTTCACATACCCGTTCAGTTACATTAAAAGCCTGTACAGTTAATATAAAGGATAGGTAATGATGAAAGAGCTTGTGTTACAAATGCACGTCCAACCTTCATAATGAATCTACATCAGGACTCAGTTCGAGAAAAAAACATTTTTCGCTACTTTAATTATTGCTTCATTCCAGATTAGCTAAACGTTACTATACATTAGCTATATGTATAGTGGTTTCTAGAAACCTTCCACCATTTTGCCTGAAAGACAAAACACAGATCAAGCGATGGAACGAAAAGTACAAATAGCAATCACATCATAGTTGAGTTGGGTAGAAAAATTGAGCCCAAATATTTAGCGCAGGCAAAAAGGTGTCGAAAACATTTCTTCTAAAACGCGCTACAGGTATTCATAAACCTACCTAGGTATCGACGTTTGGATCGGCTCAACGCTCATCGCAGCTACGTGTACATAACAATGTCGTAGAAAAATGCAGACTATTAATAAATTCTTATTTAAATGTTTTGCCTTGTGTGACATGCGGCACAAATTGAAGGGGCGAAGAGAAATTCCGAGGAGTTGCAGTTTTACGAGCACAAATTATTTGTCAGATACTAAGTGGTTGGTTACTTAGTGACCTTAGCTTGCCAAATTATTCAAGAAACTAGCTTTCGAATTGGAAAAGTAGGAGATGACGATTTGTGTTAATTGAAATTATCAGAGATTGAAAGGCTCTAACGACTCTGAATGTCTCACAAGCCTGGGGCTAAATGTTCGCACTAGAACAATCATTTTACGGTCAGTTGATTTGTTCGAAAGTTCTGTAGAATGTAAACACCGAGGCAGATCGCTGAAATTCGTTATTTTTTTATAGAAATAAGCTAGCGAACTCTCTCAACATGGTCCTTTTCCAGCATTTCCAACACTTTACTTTGTTTAAAGTTAGCATTTACGTAGTTTCGATGTATGCGCTCCGACCTAGCAGCCATAGCTCCGACTTCAGTCAAGACCGCGTTTTAGGCCATACTTGCAAAACCAGCGGGTGATTCATTACGAGCAATTCAGCAATCTATTTTTTGATTTTGTACCAATTTCAGTGACCACACGCCTTTTACCTTGTGCTAATGAGATCTATCTGCTCAAAGATGTTTTAAATAGATAAATGATTATTATGAACGTTGTCGGGTAAATGACGCAATAACTAAATTGTAGGTTTCGCCATGTTAATTTCTCGAAGCGTTCACTAATCTCTTGTTTTCGACATGCGAAATTTGGTTATATGACCAAAAAGAATATACGAGCGCCTCAATAAGTTAGCCTATATTTATTTCCCCTAAATATGCAGGTCATTGTAGCGTGTTACGTGGGTAAGTGTTAGCATAGATTCCTGGCCGAATCACACTTGGCAACCGTCAAAAAAAAAAGTCCGGGAATTTCTTCGTTTATCTTACTGAGGATCATTGTCGATTCAATTCCTTTCATGAAGCATATGTTTCAATATTGAAGGGGCACTAAATATATTGAATCAAATAGTTTCAACTGACTTCAAAGCGACATACTTTGAACGGCTTTTAGCTGATACAGGCGGCATTATCTACTTGAAACGAATACCTTATATATCAAATAGAAAGTCGGCAATCATTTTCACAGTATTGGTAAACGATATGAAGTTGACTAACCGTCTTTTGGTGATAGCATTTATGCTGCAGTTGAATTTCAACGAGTTCAACACCGACATTTTGTACGAATATCTCGTACCATTTATATCAAACATGATCTTTGCCGATGTTGGATAACTGTAAAGTAAATTTGGCTAGTTTTGGTGTTTTTTTTAGTAAATCGACCTGTTTTCGTACGTAAAGCGTCGAAATGGAAACAGGAACAGGCGTCACCGAAGAGCAGAAAACACAAATTGCTTCGTTAAAACAAATGTACGCAACGCGAAACTGTTGAAATCTTTCATGTTTCCCAACATTTCGTCGCCGTTTCGAAAAGACCTGGTTCGGGGGCACTGGAGATGCCAAGAGAAGCTCGAATGAAACGAGTCCATTTTCAGTGGACAAATCCAGTCTAAAATTGAATCCTTAAAAACCGGGAAAAAGTGCGTTTCCCAGTCGGGTCTAATTTTGAAATTTTTAGAAAAAAAATCCTATCATACCGTCAAGCGTGTCGACGAACGATTTTCCGAACACTGTGTTATCCATTAACAGTTCTGATGTAGTCTATAATTTGGGGCAAAGGCATTGACGTGACATTTTTGCACAGGCAATAATAGAGCAGCAGGAATATGCTGAGGTTATCGAGAACAAGATGCTGCCTCAGATATTGAAATGGTTCCCCGAAGGTGACCACGTCTTCAGGCTCGATGGAACTCCTTTTCACAGAATGTCAAGTATCCCTAGGCTACTTGCTGTCAATAATATTCAGGTGCTGCCGTGGCCTATTAATTCGGTAGGCCTTAATCCCCCACGTAGAAAACGTCTGGAAAATCGTCAAATCACGGGTTCAGAAAAGTCATAAAATGTTCCATGAAGCGATCACTAATGTGCCAAAATGATCCACTCATAGGGAAGACAACGAAAAACCGTTAGCTATATCACATGTGTTAGCGGTTTGAAAAATTCCTACTGATACGTAGGGCACCAACCTACCGTAGAATAATGCTGCTTTTATTAAATATAACTAATTGAAAGTCAAAATCCGTTTAAAATCTCTGGCCCTAGTGCAGCGTAATCGGCTTTGAAAGCTGAAACTAACTGACTGAATTTATTTGAGCTGCGACGTAATTTGTGAAAGCTTCATTATTTGCGGAAAGTATTAAGGATGATTTACCTGTAAGACAATCAAACACTTCGAACCTACTCTATGAAAAATAGGTGTAGATGACCACTAACGCTTTTGCTTCTATTTCGTGTTTCTTACATACGAATCTTCCACAGAGTCGCCTGAGTCGGCTATGACGTCCCTTCTCCGACTCAACTCGGCATTCACGAATAATGCTCGGCAAAGCTTAATCTTTCCTTAGGACTTCCGTGTGCAAGAAACGATGCCATCACAGCTGTCAATTAAAACCCGAAGAGAAATGAGCAGCCAAGCTTCTGCGGATCTATATATACACATCGTGACAATATATATTGTTATGGTGAAGACACAGTGTTACAACTGCAGAAAAATCCTCACACAACAAGAAACAATACAGACATTGGCACAAAGTTATGCAGTTTATCTTCACTTGGTGACAAACCCATAATGAGTGACAATACATGGAATTAACAAACGAGAACGAACGCCGTTACAATCTGAAGCGCAGTTGTTACTTTCCTTCAGAACAGCCCCTTCCGATCTTCAACCTGTATAACACTGTTCAAACAAACTCTTTTTTTGCTTCTTCAGAATATGGCCACGGGTAAGCGGTTTTGTCCAGTCGTTCTCGCACACCAAGATGGGCAGTCGGTAGGATTTGAAAGAGCTGCTCAAACATCATTTAGCATAGTTTTTTCGTATTTGGCATCGAATCGATCAATTTCAATTTTGTAACGAAGATCGTCGTAAAGACGGTCGAAACAGTCGGATACTGTGAGCAGAATAGAAAAAACCGTGTCATCGCATTGTCACGCGATGCACTTATCAATGTTTGTCACACCTGAACTTTTACGCGACAACAGTACACAACGACACCAAGATAAGTTAGGCTTCTAGCTAAAAACAATGTCGTTATATATTTTAATATACAGGAAGAAAAAATAAATACGGCACGGAAACATATTACGTGAACGAATATTACACTAGGTCTTATGATTGCTTATCTAAATTAAAATTATATAAAGAACACATACTATATATATATATATAGTTTCTTCCCTTATATGTGGTGACAGAACGTGTGAAAATAGAATAAAATGGTTGGACGGAAATGGAGGGAGAAATTCAAATGGTAATAACGATAATGCTATGAACAATTATAAAACATACTAACACTGTAATAAATGAGCTAAAATCAGCTAAACAGTGAGCCTCGAAGGCAATGTTACTAGTGAAGAATAATAGTATTTATGTACTTAATAATAATTTCAACAAGGACCGTTACCATTGTGTACTGGTATCTAAGATATTATGTATAAAAAATATACACGTTACTATAAGCCAAGATAAACATACTGGATAGAGAGAAGATAGATGTTCCAATAACGACATTTCTCTCTGCTATACAGACACACACACATATATGTTTGTATATATATATATATATATACATTAGTGCAAGATGTTTACGGCGGTTCTATACTTATGTACGGAACAGCGAATGGAATAGAACCCGTAATCACAGTCGGGCGAACTATAGCCGAAATCTGTAAACAAGTCGACAATTACTCACGTATCGCCATCGATCGTTGATGGTACGGTACTACAACTATATACTATGAAATTAATGATTGATGAATGCTGATTGATGGTTCGATATATCTACATAAAACTATGTATAGCGCTACCCTCTTACCAATGACGAAGGGATCCCGTAAGGTTATTCTGTATAATTACATACACACATTCTCTATTAGAGCACACAATTTGGAATAAAAAAATTTTATCTGTATCCTGCTATGATGCCATAACGATGCGCAGAAACTGGGTCGAACATGCCCCAGTCGAGTTATTTTCATAATTTAAATCGAACGGCGGCTGAATAATATCAAAGGGGCATGCGGAGCAGCAATTGTCGAATTTAGGAAACGAATATTTAGATAATTTACTGCGAATGGTAGCGTTTCTTGTGCGGAGAAAGATACTGAACAGGAACCGTTTAATGCCTGTGTCGACTGTGGATCAGTATACTCGATAAAGCCCATGGACTTATCAGCATAAAAACATACCTATATAAAAAAACTATACAATTTTCTGCCGACAACGTTCATTTTTCAGATACGTACTGTATAACTATTACGTTTTTTTTTCTATTCTGGATGCAAGATTCGATTGTTCAATATTTCGGCATCTAACGCTTTGTTTTGTTCGAAAATGGGTTAATGAATTTGAAAAATTGTTAATGCGTGTGTGTGTGTGTGTGTGTGTGTGTGTGTGTGTGTGTGTGTGTGTGTGTGTGTGTGTGTGTGTGTGTGTGTGTGTGTGTGTGTGTGTGTGTGTGTGTGTGTGTGTGTGTGTGTGTGTGTGTGTGTGTGTGTGTGTGTGTGTGTGTGTGTGTGTGTGTGTGTGTGTGTGTGTGTGTGTGTGTGTGTGTGTGTGTGTGTGTGTGTGTGTGTGTGTGTGTGTGTATGTATATATACAGAATAGAAGCCAGTCGGGGTCACCACAGCCGCCTGCCCGACGGTGTTGCGCAGACATTCGCCACTTGCCGTAGGGAGGTGACACACAAAAAATTGTATACTATTTACTGCTATTCGACAATTACAATATATTAAATATATATTGCCGTACACTTATACACAGGCGATACTCTAAATAACTATTACAAAGTGGGTATTGGTAAAAGCCTAAAATCAGAGAGAAAGATATAGTACTTATGCCTAATGTAATAGCGATTTATTTAATTTAATTAATTGTTCCGACCTATAATATATACAGTTACTACTAAATTACAGATAGAGATTATAATATATCTATAAAGTATACATAAAACGTAGGTATAAAAGTAAAAATAACGGTAATAATAATTTTGAAAATCGATTATGGTAAAGACCACTGGAATGGAACTAGTTTTATGGAATAGATTTGCGTTGTACGGCGTCAATAATGAAGGCACAGTGACGATTGAAAATAAGAGAAGAATGCTCAGGGAAACACATCGAAATCATAGTAATAACAACAGTTACTATTCTAAGCTCAGTGGCTTTTATCGGATCGGTTATCCAATGCGAAACTACAACTATATAAAGATAAAGACAACATCGATAAGCACCCATTTGTATAGAGATATCTACAACGCACATGAGCAGAGGGATAGGGTAAACAATTGAAAACGACACACTTCTCAGCTATGCTTGAAGACAATGATAATAATATTACCTACTAGAAACATTATCGCTTTGTATATCGATGGTGAAGATTATCAGAGAGAAGATCACGGCAACAGTTGGGCGATGCATAGTTGTCACGTCACGATGACAAATATGGTTATTTAGCGACAATGATGCGTAACGTAGATAAACAACGTAGCGTTGTCTGGTAGCGTACGATACGATAACAGTTATACCAGCTACTGTTGCTATGTACATTTATTGACATGATCAACGAGTGTGCACATAGTTTTAATAGTATCACGTATTTCTGGCAATGTGCATAATAGACAATTACAATGATGGCTACAAAATGGTGGCCACAAAGACGTACCGGGTATATAGCGAACACGATTCAAATGGGACGATATTAACCATGGTCTCAAAATAGATGATGAAACGATCATGTACCGATATTCACTCCCTACGAACGACTGGCGATAATCCGTCGAAGTTTTAACCGGCTGTCAAGTGCCTTTGACCTACTTTGAGGTTGGCGTAAACCACCGTGGTCTGTTATACGAGATATTCCTCTTTTTCTACGGATCACGTAACGCCGATTTTCCGATTCTGTGTGTGTATATGGGTGTGAGTTTGTGTGTACGAATGTACGACTATATGGGGCCGTTCGTTGTGCGACAGTGGCGTAAACAATGTCGGGTGTCAGAGCATCGTATTTGCGGAGGCTTGGGTAATCGATAGCTAAATAAACGAAATTAACAAAACTAAAAGGGCTTTATCAAGCTTGTCGCATAGCTATTCGATAGCGCAGAGAAGATTAGGACCGCTTTAAACATTCGGCTTTTCCGAAAGAGAAGATTGATCGTGCTCTCATTTGAGCAGCTTGTCATTAGCCATTTTCATCAAACATGCGAGTCGTTATCGGAAACAGTAGTGAATCATGCTAAACTCTACTTACTATGGTATATATATATATGGCACGGACCATTTATTCATCGAGGCCAGTGATCAGTAGTGCTCCGCCGTGGTCGATTCAATGACACAATAGCCACGTTTTTGCGGTGTAGTTATTCAACAGGGATAGCCAAGGGCAAACAAGAAACAATACGCTGTCAGAGACGCGCGCGCGCACACACACACACACACACACACACACACTCGGAAAAAGAAGAGCATTACGTCGACTCTCGCGTTAGTTTATCCCTAAAGCGCGTAAATGCAATATCGCATGTATAAGTGTACACAGAGACCAATATGGATTTTGAATGCTGTTGCAGTCAGTTCCCCTGAGCTCGGTAAGTACCGACACTTCGCTCGTACGTGGTACGATCTTATATGTAGCAGAAAACGGTAGGCGGGAAAGAAAACACGCCACTAAACAGACAAATGATGTTGACTGCATCGAATCTCTGTCTGTATTTAAATTCGAATGTCTGTATTTAAATTAAGACCCACAAACAAAAATTGGCGCCGACAACTAAGCAGGACGGTTTGAGAACAGGTTGCCAATAGTATGAAATGAGGATTCTGCAAGGCCGCATTAATAACCGGTCGGTAATTGTGTTATGCAAAATAAACAATGTTACGACGTAACGTGGACCTCGAAAAGTATAGCTGGGTTATTTAGCACATATTTTAGAGGGGGCAAAAGATTTACAAACTCGACAGAAGGCTCCAGGAGTCAACACGCACCGTTACTACATCCCATTGCAATAGCTTGCATCATCATAAGAACAGCAGCTTATTGATCTCCTAAAAACTCACTTGGAGACTTTTTATTAAATTTTTTAGCCGATATATCTTCTGTGAGAACGCTAAATGTCAAACGGGAATATTTCAGCAGCGTACTCCAATGTACCAACTAGAAATGTGTAGCTATGGTATAAAAGAGCGTCATGCAAAACGGAATTGAACGTGATTCAGCTTCAGTGCAGAGGATTAGAGCTAAGAAAAACTGCAACGCAAATCTGCTGTTTATAAAGTCGCTGAACCCCTAGATGGTAAAATTTTACCCAAGAAGCCACGCGTGGACCGTCCTGTACTATCCTCCTTATGGTGGTGTTGACTCGAGCTTATAACAAGTGAACAAGTCGCGTTATCTAATTCATGCGGGGGTAGGAAATATTTGTAGCTTTGCAGAATCAGAACCGTCAACGGTGGCTTTTGTTACTTCATACAATACATGGAGAAAACAAACTCCCAGCAAGACGAACTGCTGGAACATATGCTTTGGCCGTAAGGTCTCCAGGAACCGACATTTAAGGAGCTAACACGGCAATTCAGTATTACTAGCCTTTCCATTCATAAATACTTTTTTCGGATGAGAAACTCAGAAGAGCCCTTCGATCTCTGATCAATATCAATCGACGTAGTCAGTCACTCTGACATCGCTAGTGTAATGCGCTTAGCTGCAACCAACCTCATTCGAAGCCGACGATCTATTAAACGCAGTGGCTTTTGTTCGTAACTGTATAATTCATACGCTATGTAGATTAATCGTCGACGAAGCGATAATATGTAAAAGGGAAAGGAAAATGTCGAGCTACCAAAATTTGTGTCGTACTATTTGCGTATGTGGGGATATGAGGATCTGAAAGTTGATCGAAACAGGCCATGGAAAGACGAAATCAGGAAGAGTAGGGTTTCGTGCTTTAGTTCAAAGACTTCGGGCGGTTTCAGACACCGTTTCAGCCGCCCACTTAGCGGTTCGGAACAGCGTGGACTCGCAGATACCCTCGGTCCCTTAAGTGCTTCTTATTACTGCTCGTACGTATAATGGTATTGCGCTTACGACCCATTAGTTCGGTTCTATATCGCTCACTCATTTGCATGATTTTACGGCTCACCATAGGCATAGCAGGCTCATCAAAAATAATATGAGCCGCAATTTTACAGCAATGAATAAGAGCACAGGCCATAGGGCTATTGCATGTCGACTGCTGACAATTCATCACTTGAATTCAATTTTGTCATAAAACGTATGCGTTTTTTCTGAAAAGGAATGCTTCGTTGAAAGCCTCATCCTCGTCTAAGCACTTCGTCTCGAGAATGTCTTCACCGGCGTTAATGCGAAAGATTAATATAGGATCTTTCCACCTCAAAAACAATCCCCGATCCCCGGGTTTTTCAGTCAGTGCTCGCTGCGCAGTTGTTATGGCCCGTTTTTCTCAATTAGCGCGTAAATCCCGTTTTTGACACTGGAACTCACGTCTAGGCATTTGCCAAACCCGTGCGCGCTTTAGTTACCGCAAAAAAGCTCACTCAATTCACGTGTTCCTCAATCCCTGTTGGTCCTACGACAATATTTATTTAAAAATCATTTTGACCGTTTAGTGCTAATTTTGTACTTCAATCAGTTGGGGAAACCGAGCTGGACTACTTATCGTCGCAATTAAACAACTCAAAATAATTGTTGCCGGTTTTTTTTAATTATGATAAAAAAATGTTTTAAATCTCGTTGGCCTTCATTAATTCTATAAAAAATGCACAGAAATTTTCTACTAATCACAATCTTCTGTCACTTTTTCCAGCTGGATTTTGGTGCATAGCGATTGTAATTTTCGCACCGAATATCTGTTTTATGTAGTCCGAGTATCGTGGATCCTTTTCAGATACCTCGTGGAGCCTTTTATTTCTCATAGACTCCACTCAAGTTTCGCCACCATTCCCCTGCCTTTGACTACCACATAATCACCAATGTGATGGCTTCTTTTCACGTACACCTCCAATCTCTATATTCTTTTATTTCTTTACTGTCTCGTAAGCAATTGAGAGCACTGTGCTCTCTGGCGAACCTTTGTAATAATAAATAACAATGAATGTATTATACGACTGACCTCGGTCACCTAGCCTCTCAGCCCCCCACCCCACCCCACCAGACCTAGATACGAACCGTTTCGTCAGACGTACAACACCTGTTACCGCAGGACACAGACGTTTCGGCACACTGTTTTTCTACTAGATTTTCTTATCGAAAATTTCGCTCACTGTAAGCTTTACTTGTAAATTGACAGTTCTGTTGCGCAACCCTTCAAGGACCTTCGTAGCTCGGACGATGACAGTTTAGATGACGGATGAATATTTTGTCGTATACAGATTAGAGCCCGCTCAGGATGCGGAGAAAGGCCTGGCAGTATTTACAACACTGACTTGCAAGAGTTCTCACAGCGAGAACAAGAACGTCAATAACAATAATAACAGCAACAGAAAAAAGAAAAACTAAAACCAGAACGGCAGGAAAACAGAACGACAAACCAGTAACCAAATGATCAGAGCCAAATGTGTAGATAACGGAATGGGTTCAACGAGAATAGCGAACAGCGCAGATATTACGTGCGCACGGAAACGATGTGGGTTGGCTCGCACATCCGGAAGGCGCTGGGAAAGCTGGCATCCGGCTTTACTTTATCTGCACTTGTGTGACAGATACAGACCAGCAAATAGGCACTCGAACGCTGAAAAATAAATAGTTAATATTGCTAATACTAACATTGCACTGTCGATCGGTTCCCGACCCACGGACTCCTTCCGGGTGTGTAGCCAGAAACGGCGCGGCAATTCATTCAACGTGACTCAGCGGCATCTGCATATACATGATTCCTGTAGGCATATTGATTCGAATCGCAGAATTGTCCGCGTCGTGTGATGCGATTGATCTACAGTTAGTACAAATGCATAATAGCCAGCTATGCTGTCTGTACATAAAATCGATATATAAATATGGCTTTAGTTACTACTAGTGGTAATAACAAAAATAATTACATTACTTATAATTATATAAATATAAACATATATGATATGATGGGAGATATATACGTGCATACATATATATATATATAGATATAATAATCAATGCTAAGTATGTTGCGCTTATAAGGATACACTAATGGTTACGACGATTATACATGGATACATGGCTCTTATTACGAGCGAAAAGATAACTTAGAAGAGCTGACTATTGAATATATATACATATATATATACACATATATATATATATATCCAGCGTTAGAGAACCGTGGAGCGACAAAGAAGGGATAAGAGAAACACAATGATAAAAATGGAGATGAAGACTAAGCTCAGACAGTCGTTTGTAAAATATGTACTTACTTCCGCCCACCCTCCACCCCCAACCGAACGATGGGAAAGAAAGATTCAATGACGAAAAATATGAAGGAAGAATAATACGATGAAGGAAATAAGGCGTTGCTACCTCACTTAGAAGCAACAAACGAGGGAGACAAACACCCACGAATGTACACATAGACAGATGCAATGCATGTACATGCCAAAACGCACGCCGACTGCTACTTACTACGTCGCTGCAACTAACAATAACACACTGAAAAAAGATCAATACTGTCAATAAACAGGCTCGTCTGGCTGGCGTAACTGCATCAGACTATTTCGTACTGAATTTCAAACGGCGCAATATCGACGGATGACAAAACGCTCGCAGAAAGTTCGCTGCCGCAGAATCGCGCGTAAATAAGGCCTAAAAACAGCTGTATGATAAGCTTAACATTTTGAGCATTCTGAGTTCCTTCTACCCTAGCGTTTGGGCCTCATAAAAGCAGCATTGAAAGATCAAAAGGTACTGTCCTCAAATTTGATCCACGAATTACTGCCTATAGAAAAATGTGCCTATCCACAGAAAAAATCCTATGATCTTGTCAATAGTTAGAACAGAAAGTTCAGATACATTTTCACGGTAGCCTCGGATAAGTATCGCTTACTAAGCTTTTTATATACATTACCAGTAGCGTATTGAAAACCAGGAGCTAAACAACGTTAACTAGATTATGATAATAATATTTGTGATAACCTTGCACTATTTCTCTCCCATCTCATTTGGCTGGGAAACGTCCCACAAGGAGCCGACACTGAGGAAATCATCTATAACGCCCAACATTAATTTATCTAAACCTACCTATAAATTTAGCTAGCGGCTTCCAGTTAGAATTGACATTGTCACCGTGCGAATGCGCAACGGCCTAATAATGCAAAAGGGTCCCGAAAGGAACTTCAAGAAAGCTCAATAAAAGGAGACCCTAAGGCCTTGGCCGAGTCAAGCTCGAGAAAAGAAGACCGAAAACACTTAACCGATTTGCTGTTCAATTATATAATTCTTAGTTATTATTACCGTAATAAAACAAAAGATACTATTCATAATAAAGCAAAATGTGTGTTGCATTTATATTCGCTAGATATACGTCAGACACTATGAGATAGAGACATCAGAGTAGATATGTAAAGAAATGTTCTAATTCCACACAATCGGAAAGCGTAGAATGTTATACTAAAATAAAAAAAATATACAGATAAATGCGGAGGGCAAGTTATTCCAGCTTATGTTGGGTAAAGCCATCTGGGTAAAAAAATAATCACAAGCTTCCCGGAACAGCACACTAGTACCCGATACCTTTAATAGTATTCAGACATCGCAAAAAGCGCACATATTGTACTGACCCATCTATTAATTTGTTTAGACCTTCATATATTTTGTGAATCATTAAACGTTCCATTTCTAACCTAATCAAGGTTATAAAAATAATATATTAATATAGCATTATCGTCTTTTTCGTAAAATAAACAGTTTTTACTGTACCTTTCTCTAGATTCAAACGTTTATGGAAAAAGCAAGCGAAGACCCGCTACCTTATAATCGAGCGACTCAATCAGAAAGTAAAGTACAATTTAACTTGATCAAAAATGTTAGGGCCATACCAGATTTACGTGCCTCAGGTTGCCAGCGTGGCTCACCTTGGTCAAACACTCGTAAAAGGCTAAAGAAGTAGTTTTTTGGAATACGAATAAAAAGCCTATTAATAAGAACACATATAAGGGTACGTGTAAAGAAGTGTTTACCAGTCGAAACACTTCTTTATAAGGGTACGCGTAGAAGTACTACTAACCCAAGTACAATTCGAATGTAATACAAATTGATTTTCACAAACATGATATTTGCAAGATTTCGAGCTATTTTTGAAAAAGTACCTTTTGCTAAGGTAGAACACTGCCAGACAAGCTACTTGGTCAATAAACACCTTCATATTGGAAATTCAATTGGAAACATATTGATGAAATATAAAGGAAGATCCTTAACTCACCCAAATAGATCCAGCTGTGAAAACTTAATCAAAAAAATAAGGTTCCGAAAACATAAGTGACACCAAATTTGTCACCCGCATATATCTCAGCAATACTAGCGGTTAAACAGTATTGTTTTCCAAACGCAATTTTTCCGTCTTACAAGGAAACCATAATGACTTATATAGCCTCATTTTTCTGTAACCACGATTTACAATATACCATCTCATTAAACAACTCAGCTATGCCCCTGTAGAGTGGCAACAAGTGTTTTGAATTTCACATTCAGCTTTATTGCCCCAATTAAGTATTGTTTCAGAAAGGTAATGGTTCTCTTCAGCACTATAAAGCGAGTTTCGAACCTAGGCGATCTAATGTGTGGGCAATACTTCATTACAAACTTGTCACAGACACATTGCACCTACTACAATCAACGCCTATATGATATTGTTACTGAAGGTTAAGCTTTGCATGTGCCTACGGGTAAGTTTGAGATGAATACTCATCTTTAACTTCAATTTACAGTACACTACTCATAGAGCTTTAGTGCCCATAGAGCGTCGACCGATAGCATGCCGACATTCTTTCAATATATGCATTGAACAAGTAGATATGACGCAGGACTGAAAAAAATATTTGCTAACCAAAAGAGCCACACCGCTATAGAGTTCTTGCTTTTTTTCAGCGAGCCTTGCCTCACACACATGCTTCCATTTATATATCTACCTATTTATCTACCTCTCTATTCCTGCGTATTACGCGTACTCAATAAAGACACCCAATTAATTGTGATGTGTTGCATATTCATTTGTTTTTCTCTGTTGGTCTTCTGACTAGGAAGACAAACCTCATCCCAGTTAGGGGCAAGGACCCTTACACCGCTGTAATGTGCCACCTCGGATTGCAGGCTTCTTTTTGTGCTGTTACTGTAAAAAAGTGTAAAATTAACGCCATTTGAGACACTAACAGCATATCCCACACTCCACACGCTCACGATACTGGCCCAGCGGCTATAGACCGCAAGTAGGCGACAATTATCTTGGGCTATTTAACGGCCGTCATTTGGGCTTGGACCGGAGCAGCCGCCGGCACCGAGGCAGCATACGACGTTGGTCCAGCTGTTGTAATCGTTGAAGGCGATATTTCGGTGTAGCTCGCAGCCTGTGGCAAAACCGAATAGCTAGCATAAGTTGGACCCGCCGTAGTTGGATAACTTGCAGGAGGAGCCTGTTGATAGACCACAGTTCCCTGCGGAGGAACCATCTGATATCCTGCCGACGAAGTCAACGGTACGATGTATGTCCCTGTAGGAGCGGCCTGCGTACATGCCACTGGAGCCGGCAACGAGTCCGCTGGTGTGCCTTCAGGTAGCTTACGAGATCGATAAACGGATAGGCCCAAGTTGAAGAAGTATCTGCAAAGGTGTTCAGCTCAGTAAGAATCATGAGATGCTGTCATACAGTTAATATAGCCAACTGACACGCGATCGCGTCCTAGCCTACCCGCCGTTCGTAACATGCGAAGATAAAGTAACGCTAGAATGGGCGTTTACTACTTATTCAATTTACAGAAATGCTGAACACCTATCTCCGGGTGATGGTGCAGTGACAATATGTTTGCCCGCTTGACTTAGGAACGCTCAGTAAAGAGGTGCCTAACTTGAAAACCAGGGGTCGACACACGGCTTGATTCGTGCTGGTGCCGTTATCCAAAGCTACGATTAATTAAGGCAGTAGCGTCGGGCGTAAAATTCGAAATATCATTTATTTTGGTGCTTGGCACTTTGCGCAAGTTTGACTACTACGAGTAACTATGCTAACCTAACAATGTCGAGTCTGTGGAGTGGTAGATCTGATCCATCGAGGAAATGGCTCATATCGATGAGGCTCATGTTCATCTCTTGAGGAGGGGCTCGAAACGAAAAACCAGGTTCAACGGACTCCATAGGATAATCCAATGTCCAATCTGTTGTTGCAGCTGATGCTGGTGCTACGAGGGAGTGTAAAGCCGGAATAGTGCGGTAATTCGGTGGCGGCACGGATGGGTTAAACTGGGCAATCGGCACTACGGGAACGGGATTCATTGGGACGATCGGGTATTCACCTATACCCATAGGCGGATGCTGAAAACCACATCCACCGTGTGCTGTTGTTCCTGTAAATATAGTAGAATCTATCAATACGGTGTACCGACATTAGGCAATAAATATAGATATAATAACTTCGCACAATTAGTTGAGTCCTTGTTTTGCGTTTTCTTCTCCCGAACTACGGCGATTATTCGAATATGGATTTCGGTTCGACTTAGCAGCTTTTTTGGTTGCACTTCAATATAAATAACGAAACGAAGATTCGTGATTCAAAGTCAATCACAATAGGCTTAAACAAGATCGACGTTTCTATCCATGTTGCTCTCTTTCGAAACAGTATCCAGAGATAGTGGCCTAAGTATTCATACACTCGAACTCACCAGGCGCCGTTGCGTAGATTGTACTATCAGGAACCCGCTGTATGTCGGCAGTTGCGTAACTATAGTTTGGATCGAAAATGATCGTTTGTGCTGGGCGCGCGCTTAGCTGGGGCACAACGGTCACCCCAGACTCGCTAATGCCAGCCAGTCCGCTCACAGCATCGATGGCGCCGTAAGTGCCTGGATGCCCATTGACGAGAACGGGACCGCACGCGTTCATGATCGTTGGGGTGTAGCAGCTAGCAACAGGTGATGATGGTGGACCGTAGTTGGTCTTAACAGCAGGCAAGGAAACTATGAAATACGCGCATTACTGATATTAAAGATCATTTCGTTAAATGTAACACTCATTTGCTCTCAGGTAAATAATTTGCGTTGGTATGTGCTCCAGACATCACATTTTTCAAAAAAAAAATTACATGTATATAGATATTTACGCTTTTATTTCCTACAGTTACATTTCTTACATTTTCTGGGTCGACCACGTGTATGTCTGGCGACATTCTCCGCATCCTCGTGCGTGCTCATAACATCGTCGTGTTCTGACATCTTCATATTTTGGCCACCTTGTGACCGAGATCCCTCCTGAGTGGACACCGAATGCGAGCCTAAGCTATCGCGGTCGTGCGCTGCTTCTGGTATTCCCCCGAGTTTGCTAGGGCTGTTTTCAGAACTATCTTTGCTAGTCCCACCATGAGCTCGTTTATGGACGCTGTGTTGTTGTTTTCGAAGCAGTACCTCAAGTTGGTCGGCTGTCACCGCGTCACCTTCGACCGCACAGAAATGGACCGTCAAAGATAGCAAGGACTGGCAATTGTTTTCAGCTGAACATCCTATAAGAGTATTTCTGCACTTCAAATTGTAACACACATGGTGTTACATAATGGCAAACCCTCCCATTAATGAAATTACTGGTTATGAATGTGATATGGGCCACCGTCTTTCTTAATAAAAAAAAAACAATGGTTTTCCTTATGTTTAGATTTAACAAAAATGAATTGCAAAAATACTTAACTATCCCATATAGCTCTATCTTTCGAAATGTGGTCACAGAAAATGTATAGTAATGTAAATAGCACTTTAAACGTAATTATTACTAGTATAAACGTAAATAGCACAACATTTTTTGACTCTCTTGTGCTTCAAAAAAGAACTAGAATTTTCTATCACCGTTTTTGCGCTGAAAACGATGCGGTCTATGTAGCTTTTTTCCACATTTTTTATATGTACGTAAATACATGGTTCCTTTTATCAAAGTCAGTATCAGACATTAGAGTTCCCTAAGCGAACTAACCGGTGCTGAAGCTCCGGCGATTTCGCGCCTGTGATTTCCCTGATGAGACCGCCACTCGATAGGTGCGACAGTGCTCATCGTCTTCCACGGCATTGTTCCGTAACGCATGATGCGAAGCCAGCGTGACTCGAAGGCTCACAGGCAAACTCTCGATACTCGATAACGGTAGAGTGCGAATTTCGCCAATCGATTGTAAAAACACCTATAGATTAATAAAATGAGACAATGTTGCACTAATTCACTACATGCAGCTCGTATAATGTTATCCAGCAGAAAGAAGACAAATAAATCGTCTATTGAATTGTCTAAATTATTAGCTTCCTACTTGTTATACTGTTGTTATTGTTATCACCGATAGGCATTTGTTCCTTGTACCGGCTAGCTTTCTTACAAATGTCCGATAAGCGTCTTATTACTTTTTGTTGCGATAATTAGTTTTGCCTTTGGCACTGCGCTAGCAACGATAACCAAAGTTTAACTTAATTTTACACTAATATCAATAAAGTTACCTGTGCGGTATTCCCCTTTGTATCAATCGACTGCACAAACCCAGTATGCTCCTTCATACCGATGCGCGCTGTACATTTTACCCCCGTGTCCAAAGCAGGTGTTACCAGATGGCCAGTTCTGAACTCGTCGCGTTTCTCCTCACACCAATTCAGGTAGTCGACATTGCGGAATAGGTTAGGATCAAGACATTTCGCTACCTGAATGGAGAAATCCGTATACTCAGAGAAGTTAGAAGATAAAGAAACCCTTTGGCGTACGTTCAGGTTCCATTAAAAAAAATCCGTTGTCAGGCATCGCCTTAGACAATTTTCATCAACAAATTTCCTTCATAACCAGACAAAGAAGCATTGAGGTGCAATATAAAAGGAAGGCCGCCTCACTACAGTGTCTTTATAACTTCAGCAAAAGAAGACGATTTTATTACATTGTGAAGATTTAAGTCAGACTCTAGTAAGACAAAAACGGTCGACACCATAATTGGGTGATATAATAACTTCTACCACTGTAGTTCTTGTTGGAGAACTACAATGGATAGGAGCAGTTATGTGCGAACCTGAATGAAGCCTGGTCTACACAATTTCTGTTACCTTAAATGGAAATGGGGGGACACCACAGCGAACCGCTAAGACAATCTGTTCGCCATTTTTCTCCGGGAGCTTTGATACGTTGCGCTCTTCGCCCTCTGCCACCTGTCAAAGAAGCAACATCACGCAAAGAGTCTATAATAATAACAATAATACAATTTCGTATGCCACTGTCTTACATATACAACCCCGCTGTATACGTTTAAATCGCTCTATCTGCCTTACTTCTCAAAAATAAAGTCAGCTTAAAGCTCGCTGCATTTTCAAACCATCCTATTCACGTGAATTACACGTGGGCTACAGCCCTCGCGTAGTACGTGTATTCCATATATTATTTTTTGCCTCCCTTGACGTCACATAGGACTAGTCTAAGTCTTTATCTCTCAATCAGTAGTTCGTTGCTCCCCGCCTTTGGCCTTTTGCACTTTCAAACTTACCGAATTGCACCATTGCGAAAAAGTAAGGTGGCGCTTGTTTTTGAAGTGCTCTTTGTCGTAGAGCATCTTGGTCACGGCAAAATCGACTTCTTTACCGCCCAGCTCAAACACGTCTTTGTACAGCACGTCATAAACGATAGCCTGAGACACTGTAAGTGCCTCGAGGTGCTCTTTCGTATAGACTAGGTCGTACTGTTTTCCGTGCGACCAGCATAACGTTACCTGGGTCGACATCCATGTAAAGAAACAAAAAAATCATTCACGAAATCGCCGGCCGGATTTATTTGACTTCAATGGATCTGTTCTGCTGATAATGGTTTGGCAAACTGAATAAGTTGAGGTTAGGATAGTTATGAATTAATAGCGGTAGGACATTTACTTAGCTTAGGGAAAAATTCACTTACTGCGACCGGCTCCAAGCAAAAAAAGGGTGATTGTGAGCTCTACATGGCTGAGGGAAATAAGCTTCTGGGGCAACAGATAAAGCTCTTACATCCTAAATTAATTTATTATTTCAGAGTATCAATATTGTATTGTTATCTTATGTGATTTCTGCGATGAACTAAGGCGTCTCCAGTGCTTCTTCTCCCATAATCAGTAGGCAACAATTCAATGCAATCAACCCTCGAAAAGCTGCAAGGAGAAAGGCTGCAAATGCAGTTACTCTCCTGTGATAGGTCAGAACATAAAGAACAGTTCGATTAAAGAATTAGATTTTTTCATACGGTTCCTTTTTGAGAATTCAGATTCAACATTTCGTCCATCATTCAAGTGCGACCTTTTTAACTGGTTAGTTTATCAATTACTTACTATGATAGTATTCGTTTCGCTAGTCAGCTTCCTCTTCATTTCTCTTTTTTAACCCTAATATCTCGTCATCGGAACTGAAGGTACTAGATTCAAGGCTGCAACTTTGTTTGCCTTTATTCAAACCTTGAGGGGGTATCCGCCCTGCGTGACGTTGGTGGGGCCTCGATCGGCGCGGTAATACACAACAAAATCGATACGAAACAACTGGGCAAGGACGTGCATTTCGTTGTTATTTCCGGGAAAACTGTTTTCTCGTAGGCGACGGACATAGTCTTCATGCGATTGTTGAGGATCGAGCTGACGCGGAACCAGCGGTCGATTCTCGAGAATAAAGTCACACACGAGCCGGCGAATCGCGGCGTGTTTGTTCTGCGATCCGTACAAGACCTCAGATACGGCCCGGAATAGACAGGAGCCATCGACTGGCAGATGATACCGGAACAATCTAAAACGCATATCCGTTTCAAGGCAATACCTCAGCCTCTATTATAGATAAATAGCGCAAGTCTAGTTTGAGGGTTACTTAGCATTTTCTTTTTACACGCGATTACTTATATTTGTTGTGCAAACAGTGTTAAGGTTGTAAGCCTCACAAGTGCGCCATCGATGTGGGACGCTAATTCAGCGTGAAGTCGCTGAGGTATATTGATAAAAAAAACAACTTTTCGCTCGCTGGTTTCGTTCAATGTGTTTTGCTCTTGCTATGTGTTATACTGAACATACATAAATGCACATAGTCAAAGATCAACATCTTATAGAGGATTGATTGATTGATTGATTGATTGATTGACAATTTGTTTCTTACTATTATAAATTTTATCGATCAATTTAGTTCTCAAGTTTTACTCAAGTCTCTTCAAGATTTTACTACCGATTTAGATTTCGATATGTAGATAGTTTCACAGTAGTTTTAGCTATTAACTGACCTTGAATACACGATATTTTACTATTATTGTTTTCATAGTATGCCTGTATATTTGAGTTGTATGAGTAATAAATATTTCGAATCTTACGTTCGGCACCGCCGTTAGGTATTCCACCAGACGGTTGACCGTTCCCAGCACGAAACGTTCATCATTACCACATCGTTCTTAGGCCAGGCATTGACTTGGAATTAGCGTTGTACGGAAAGTGCGTGCAGTGTTCCGTGCAACTGACATCGACAATACTGTGTCTGTTTTAACTGTTAGTGCAGCCCACGTTATCCAAGATGTTCAACTACAGTTGACCATTTAGCAAACTGGCCATGCGTTCAGACGCCATTATGACTATGAGAGGGCTGGCGTACACATAACGTATACGGATCGCACACGTTTAACAAAAGTCACGGAAGACTGTTTTATTCGAAATTGCGGTTACACTCATCATGACATACGAACGAGGGCATTTCAGCGTTTCATTCGTTCCGTTCCGCGGTTCGGCTAGTCGCTTTCTGCACGAAACATCTAAACAGCGCCTAAAAGACTCCAGTGTATTTTCGTTGATTTGCCTCTTGAAAGAGGTTTAATTTAGGAAAATATGCCACATTTATCCTAGTAGAAATGTATATTTGGTCTGGGACAAAAATCTAGCTTGTGCATTATTGCTAATGACGTGTACATGAACCTAAAAACTCGTGTCTTCGACCGTGTGCTCTACTTTTATCGTATGTCTTTGTTACAGAGGATAATTTTACAATACAACCTTGAAACGTTTCGTACAAAAAGAATTATTAGGTAAAAACAATAATCAACAACTGTAATACACCACCAGAGGTTCCACACTTGTGTTTAGGTTTGATTACGATAGACTAGTACTATATACGTGAATCAAACTATTGGGTTATCTCCAATACGAAAAATAACACCCATCTTTCCAAGCGCCTACCCAAGTGAGTGTAAGTACTGATCCATTTTCGTGTTGGCCAGATGGATGCCCATTGGTAGGTAGACTTCATGGCTGAATGGGTGGCAACCCATAGTCCAGTCGGAGTTCCCTGTAAGTGCACCAGTCGTCCCAGACAGCACGGCATTACTTCCTTGACCCGATCCCTGAACGTCCTTTGAGCTTCCAGTAAAACTTCCCCGGCGGCCAATCGGCATCCTGGAAGGCAAGAACGCCTGTATCACAACAAGACCTGAAGACGGAAGGTGGCAGTAACCTGTGCTCAGGAAATTCACAGCAATTACGGCATCAAGTGTATGCCATCGAGGCGCCAATGAAACAATTACTAGGCAACGCCGCACAAAAACCTGACACTTCCACAATTAATATTATTGACGAAACTGCTGCTGCTACGGCAGCACTACACCGATCGAGGGTGAGGTACTAAGATAACAGGCTCTCCCAACAATCTGTAGCTATCATAATCATCGACTTATTGTTGGTCGATGGCTGACCGCATTCGATTTGTGCGCAGAAGCCCATATGATACAGTTGGCCAATATAGAAACATAATATAGGCATTGCTCGGTCGACGTAAAGAATGAGAAAGAACGAGGAAGAGAGATAATCGTGGTAAATTTCAGCGAACAAATATTATGAGCGTTTCACATCGGTCGGGGGAATAAGACATCTAAGCCGCACACCCTTTAAAAAATGAGTCAATCCATGGTCAAATAGGCATCGACACTTCATTACAATGGTTACAATGACTAGGTCAATATATGTGAATAGATCAATAATATTTTTGCAACTTTTTCTGAATAGACGAGCCTTTTTTTCGATGAAGTCGATTAAGGTGAAGTCATCCCAAAATAGCACTACACAACAACACGTTCGAAAGTGCTGAATCGATGGTTCGGAGAACAACGAAACTCTACAGCGGAGTAACGTCTAAAAAACAGCGTTTACTTTACAGAAAAACAATTACGATTTGCACACTATTGAGCTTTTTGCGATTGGAACGACAAAGACGAGTAGCAAGACACGCGGCGAAGAGGTTGATAACGGCTGCGCTATGACCCCATTATGACTTCGGCTTGCGTCGGCTGCAATTGCACGTCCGTATGGCAAGAGGGCTGCGAGTTAACCTACGAATTCTGGTGTCATGGTGGTGCGACGCACGTTTCGCACATAACGCCATTTACTAGGTGCTGTCTTGCCTGATAGAATAGCAGGGTTTACTAATAGACAGGAATCACTAGTACTGTGATCGCACGGGAGATTTCGTCTGGTGGTCGTTTGTGTTCACTCACATTGATTATAACTAAAGAGAAAATAGAAGAGAAAGAGAAAAGTAGTCGTATTGATCTTGGTGTTTATAGGTAGATTGTTTGAGGCGTCTTGTAGATTTTGAAAGACGTGGTAGAAAAAATGATCGACCAAAAATTTGCTTATTAAAAAAACTATGTTAGGTACCATGATTTGTGCGTTAAATATGAGGCTAAATCCTAAAGTGATTTCAAATTGGTTACAGAGCTAACAAAAACATGTTACTCTATAGTGTTCCTTACCTAAATCCACTGGCTTTTCGTCAAAGTCTAAAAATTTGATTACGATGGATATCACCTATTATGCAAAGAGTAATCTGTAATGCTTTCTTTCTAACGGGTTTAATCTTTAATGTAGTCTGGTTCACGTAATACTATTTAGACTTACGCTCAAGTGGTCATGTCATAGATATCATAAGGTCTATATATGGTCTCTACATGTGGTCTATATATAAGGTCTCTAACAAAAATAAATTTCCTATCAAAAATCTTTCCATCTGTGCTAATAGTAGCGCGCATCTAGCATATTATCAAAGGCTCCCTGCCGCCCATAGTCACCGTTTTTGGATAGCATCTCTATAAACAGGACCAAATGACAAAGGCCTCCACCGTTTGCGGCCTCGATGGGGTGTAAAACTTAAAATGTGCTTTTATTGTGCATTCGTCTTAGAGAGTTTACAAAAAACAAAGAATAATTAAATTCGTTTACGTACCAGCTACGCGATATTAAGACTGTTGTCTAAAGCAAGTTGCGAGGCCGTCAGAGATAATGCTTAGTTTTTGTGCTGTTTTGTGTTGTTTGCGCTTTGTTTGTCGCTTCTTACGGCATGATTTTATTCAATAGCCCTTACAGCCTATTATCAGGGTCTAAATAGGAGAGAAAGAATTTGGCTTATTGATAAGTACACCACAGGGAGAAGAAATGCACACATACTATCAAGTGTTTTTCATGCAACTACCACTAAATCCTTACCCCGAAAAATGCTTCCTTGGAGCGTTTCGTGAGCCTGTATTTGACGGCGAAAAATATCAAGGAAAGGTAAAACTATAGTTTTATTTAAAAAAAAAAAACAGACAGAAGACGTGGAAAAAAGTGAGAAGTAGGAAGGAAAGTGGTGCCGGCCGTTATAGGCAAACCACAAAAATTATAAACTTTTCTTTCATGACACTCGAGGCAACGTCCGTGATAAGTTTCTGATTTCGTATAAAGGTGAGAGCTTTAGCCTAACCTTTGCAGCCTAACCAGGTAGTTCGGAGCCCTCTATTTGATGTTCATTATCCGCCATGCACAATTCCACATGATCCCAATTTATTCTGTTGAAGATATAGCGTAGAATTTGCGCTCCACCTTTTTTATTTGCTTTGAACTTGTTATAATCATGTAAACATATTATTAAAAGTGGAAGTACACAGTGTGATTTGGCCTGACGAAGGATTAGGACAGCAGTAGTAAATAAAACAGTATCAAGCAAACTTAGCAGCAAGCCTGGTCTAGTCTGGCATAGAACTGTATCTCGATGCATTTTACCATATGGGCCTTACGCAACTCTAGGAGCGAATAGCATTTGGATGGCCCGTTAGTATACAGTAATAGACTAGTAATATGCTAAAATGAAAACACCTAACACATATATGAGCAGTAACAAACGTATCACGTATATACTCGTTTATTTCACTACCGAGCTACAACATGGATGACTATAGAACACAATGTCTGAAACCGGAAGCGCAGTCGAACTATGTGTGTTCAAGGTCACCTCAGTGTCGACGCCACCGGTACCAACTTAGCCACTCTTGTGGTCAGGTAAGCCATCGCTTTTACAGGGAAAAATCTCTTTTATACGTATACTTTTTGCTTTGCTATCAGCTCCAGCTGATAAGACCGTCCTGGCTTGAACCAAGTCGAACAAGCTAATGGCACCAGATCGAAGCGTCCATTACGAACCTCCTTCGGTTGCGATGGCCACATCTGCAGGCGAGTAGAAGGGGCCTTCAGCGTAGAACTTTCGCAGGCCTTTGACCTGTGCAACGTCTTTGATCGAATTCGCTTCTTCCAGCAGCGCCGCCACAATAGCGTGTTTAATTTCTTTGCCGGCCTTATCCGGTTCAGTATTTCTGTCCAGCAGCCTGAAAACAAGAAAGCATTAACTTACATAGGGCCTTAATGAGCTGCCCATTGTGGACAGTTTGTCAGTGTTCAGACAGTTGGATATTTTGAGTCCAACAGTTTTATTAAAATCCCCAAAAAAAATAGAGCCTACATTTTAGCAGAAATTAGGCTTGATAGCCGTGCTCAGGTTTCTATGTATGTTTATCATATGGATAGAACATTAAAGAATGTTGCTGACACTTCAAAAAGAAGCGAAAATGTAATCTATTTACATCTAAATAACAAAAAAAGAGTATCGATTTTTAGCCCAGGAGTGGGCCGCATCGTACGCAGACACTACGAAAACTTGCATTATCTTTAATAAATATTAGGCAGTACACAAACATAGAGAACTAATAAAAATATGAATATAAGCAGGCTTTCCAAACTAACCTCTTAAGGCACTTTTGCTGATCTTTTATTGTTTCCTCATTTTGCTCAGTTAACGTCTCAAGAAAGGAGCACACATATTTATTAGCAGCTTCGAAGTTAAAAAGAAAAACCCTTTTAAATGATATCGTACAATTTAAAACTTGCATTATTAACTTAAGAAACAACCCGAATAATTTATCAGCTCAGTTCACTTGTATTGAACGTATACGACTCAACGTAAACAGCGTTCAGTATTCGCGTTCACGCTGAGACGACAAAGAGAACATACCATTCATAAGACCCGGGTAGCTCAAGGAGACCTTGTCGACCCCAAGGTAGAAGCGCAATATTTTTCATGACCCGCAATGCAGCCAGCCGCTCATTTGGAAATGGGGTCTTCGCACATTTCCACAGCAAAGCCAACGGCGTGGTACTCAGGCAGGACATCCATTTCTCCGACAAGGTAATTACGTCCAACTGGTCGTATTCCTAATGGTGCAAGCGCATGAACACATCACGCATAAGCTATCAAATACAGATTTGAGTCACAACGTTATTCTTTGTTATATTCGTAACTAATCATCGAAATTGACAGCTGAAGCATGCCTAAATAATATATATATATATATTCTGATTTCTATATCGTGGTGTATTTGGAGTGTTTCTCGGTAAATGGTATCAAGACTAGATTGGAAAAAATCGAGTTTTTTAAGCAAATAAAAGTGAAAATTAGTCATAATACGTTTCTTGCACGTTACAACCATAATCGATTTGTAACTCGGTTCAAAGACCTAGTTTGCGTGTAAACAACCGCACCTAAACGCAGCCAAAGTATAGATTATTTAAAGTTATTCTGCAACCAAGCGAAATTTTGTCAAAATGACTGGACAGCTTGCAAAGGTTGCACTCAAGGCATAATAGAAACGTACATCACTAGAGATCAAGAAAGTTGAATTCCTTCTTGTTAGTGGAACAGTTCGTACTCGAAATGTATTTTTCAAGATGAGTTTAGCCTACTTACTACTGCTTTCTCTAGTGCTGAATAGTAAATACGAACAAAGGCCTTATGTAGGAAGAGATATTTTATTTGTCTTTACCTCCATCTCAAGAATAGACTGTACAGCAATCAGTGCTGACATCTTGTGCTCGGCTGAATAATTTGTCATTTCAAGACACTTGCCGATGTCTCGCATATACGCGGCCATTTCTCGTGAGAGATTCTCCTCTATGCAACGTTTGCCGTCACGAGTCCGAGCGATTTGTCCTACGGCCGCCATCGCGGTGGGAGCAAACGGGGAGCCCAATCTTGCAGTTTCAAAAATCACTTTAACTACTGCAGTGTGCTCGTGTACGAGTGCAATCGGGTTGTGAAGACCGAACTCGCCGAAAAATAGGAGAACGCCTACAAAAACGAAGTTAGGCTAAAACTCTGTGATAGTTATGTGAAATGCTTGTGTAACCACATCTGCTATGTGATAATTGTGAGAAATATTTGGTGCAATTTTTAGCATTAATTTATCAAGCGTTTGCTGTATGGGTTGATTTAATATAATGTTTGTAAAAAATAGGCTATAAATCCTTTATGTGTAAAGGGGCTTGTTACGTAGCCGCGACTTTCGTGTACCCACCTTCCGTTTAAACAAATTACTAATAGAGTTTGCATACATACTAATCCTCACAGCAGATTAGTACCTAGATAATGGTTGGCTATCTCATTTTTCCTGGCTACACTATAGCCACAACTTCGATTACTCAGAAACGTGTTCTGCTTGACCGAACTTGTTTTTATATCTGCCTCGGCGCGGTCAAATTCAAAAAATTGATCGATTGATCATGAGCGGCTTTTTTGAACCTACCCGGCATATAAAACGTAGCGTTTGGATCATCCGGATGGCTTAGGAGGTCCTTTAGAATTTCAACCGCAGTCGACGAGCGGATATAATCCATCGTATATGGCTTCGAGACGAGTATTCGCAGTAACTCGATGTAGTTTAACAGGACGAGCATATCGGACTTTTCTCGTTTAAGTGATTCGACAACTTTGTCAAGGAGCTGAGCCATCTTCTTGCAGTTTGCTTCGGACTGGCATGCGACTTGACAAAACAGCTGCAGTTACAGCAAGAAACAACGAATTAACAGAATAGAACATGCATATCTATAGCAAAGAAATTGGTGCTGATGGGTTTCAGTTTTGATGCGAACACAATAAATCAAAAAAGCTGTTTTCGTATTTCGCTAATGTCGTTATTATTGTTAATATTATATGTTTAGTTCTTTACATGTGTTATATTGTACATTCTATCACCGCTCTCTATTCAATTGAATCTCCAAAATTACAGCGGGACATAGACAAGTTCTTGAATAGTACGTAGATGTTTCTATGATCGAAATAGACGATCGTAAGTTTATCGACTTAGATTGCGTCAAGTAAAAATCGTTCCTTCTACCAAAACACTACGTCAATGTGTACTTCGTTCAATCTCATGTAGTACATGCATTCTAATACGCATTACCGCTTACATGCAATTATAACTAACCTCCAAGACCCGAAGATTCTCCACCGATCCTTTCTGTTGAACAGCCTCCAGCCGCTGCAGCAGATCGCCACTGAATAAAATCTTTAATGCATCGATCGAATGTGTTGTCAACTCGAGTAATAAAGACTTCACTGAGTCGTTAAGAGTCATCGAAGCAAATCGATCGATGACATAGGCCAGTAACGTAGTATTCGCGACTAGATTGGGACGCACCTAAGAACACAGAAACAACACGATTTGGTCAACTTGAAAGGATATTCGACAAGTGCTAAAAACTATCTACACGGAAAAAACTCACGAACAGCTCACTACTAAACCGCGTATTCCACGTAATGCTAACGTTCCATGTTTCTTTAAAAAAAAAAACTTCTTCTTTGGCCGAACAACCCCGGCGCGTTTTCTTTTCTTTTGGATGTACAGGCTTAGGCGCCGATAGAAAACCCCGTGTTGAATGGATCACTTCCTCAACGTACGCTTTAAACATGAAAAACAAACTCGTTTCAACTCGTCATAGTAAATGTCTGACACATCGAATGTTTGACAAGCAATATCCAAAGCGAAGGAAAAATGACGCGTGTAGTTATTATTGGTGTCAGCATTGCGTATGTCGTTAGGTTGCAAATTAATTTTTCCGTTTTTTTTTTGTTCATCGAGATGCAACAACCTTTTCATCGCGAGCACATCGGAGTAGCTGTTGCAGAACCAATTTCTGTATGTCGTCGTTACATTGCTCTCGGAGCGCCTCGGTAATGTAACGTTCGTATTTGGTCAGTATTAGTTGACAGGGCACACAGTCGAGAAGTGTTCGCAGGATTTGGCAGAAAAGCTGGATCTCCTCACTAAAAAGAAAAATACATGGCAAAGGGAAAATAGAAATATTAATATGAAACTAGGAATAATATTATAGACTGTTGTTAATTGCCCTCCATCCCCCCAATACGTTCTTATGTAGTTATTATGAACATAAAACTAGGTGAAGATGGGCGGCGCGAATGTCGGCTAGGAAAAATGCAAAGCGGTTTTTCTGGTCGGGTACGAAAGACACGCAGCGATGAGATATTGGTGCACAACCAGAAGATATTCGAAATAAAGGATACTGCACGATGCACTGGGATAACCGGGAATAAATGGCTCAGCAGGAGTCTTTACGTAGAAATCACGAGATTCAGAAACAAAGGTTATTTAGCTATAAAATTTTTTAACCAGCACGGAAAAGAATGCGAAATCATCTTATCACGGTGGCCCAGTGCACAGTTCTGTACGGGACAGCAGGGTATGCATGACAGCGATCAAATTGAAACACCACAGAGAGAAGCTCCTGAACGCGTAAAGCACAATGGCAATAAAAAAATGACAAATGCGCAGATGGTGGGCGCGCAGGCAACAATGGTTATAGCACGGACCATACTATAGCCGACACTGACAGAAGAACGGAGAAAGCCAATTCTAAATTCGGAGACAAAAATGCCCAGGAGGAACAGATTTTTAAAAATTGGTAGTAGGAATGAAGCAAACAACCGGCAGACTTTTCAGGAGCATGAATTAACCATCTCACACCCGACCTAAACAAACAAATAAACAGTGGGCCTGTCGATACCATGTACGAACTCATCTAAGTACGCGCTGGAAACACAGGATTCTCAAAATACTTTTACAACATTGGCAAAACATCTGATGCGGTATGCATTTACCAGTGAAGTTAATGACGTAGTCCATACATTACTTAACGTTGGGAGAGGGCTGAGCGAAGGGGCAAACAGAACGGGGGACCCAAACAGCTCGGGGCAAAGTTAGTACAATGACAGAAAACAGGGAGCAACGGTCGCACGGTTGCTAAAAAAAAGTGATGAAATAGAAAATCGACCTAGAGAATGAAAAACATGGGTAACCAATAGAGGCTGCCAGAGGGCTAACCATCAAAACCTTCTAAGGAAAGTGTTACGCGCGGTTCCAGTGGATGAAGAAAATCAATCTTTAAAAAGGATTCCCTAATTCTTGTTGATATTTTTAGACTTGTAGTTGACTTCGGAATATGATTGCCTATATATGCTAATATGTACGCCTGCTAATCTTGATTCACCTTATTGTTTTCCTACTAAGTTCGATGGGCTTCTGAATAAATAGCGAATACGGTAAAGGACATACAAGCTATACGAGTTGTTAGGCGCACATACACATGCACAATAAAAAAATAATTTGACCTCTACTGACCCTCCCTATTTAAAGACAATTTTAACATCTGCAGGGTCATGCAAACCATAGCTAGACAATTATGTTTTCATTAACATACTTTTTCAGATTGGCCAGCACGACAAATAGCTGTGAAAGATCACTGTTCTGCAGTGAGCTGGAGAACTCCAAACGGTTATGATGTAAATGATCGGAACATGCCGACTTGATCACATTCAGATTCTCCACGTTTATTTTTTCAGGATCAGCCAAATCCCTCAGTAATTCGCCGAGCTTTCTCATATTTGTTTAATCGATTGTTCAATTGCAGCTGAGTATTCGAGACTTAGCTTTTCTTGTAGACGGTACGTGCGGATAAATGTCACCACCTTCACATAGGGGGCTTGCAGCTATATCAAATACTAACTGGCTTCTGTAAAGTGTACTATATATTCTCACCAAGCAGTTAGAGTAATTTACGTATCAACGATGACAACTTGAATTTCGAACGCCTTTCCCTTAATTGCCGTGTGGTAAAAACGACACCCATGAGTCTGTCTTGTACCAGTAGCATTGCAAGCAGCTCCAATATTTAAAAATGGCTGGTCTGTCCGCGTACCGTTGAGTGCTTCATCAGATCAGCATTAACATAGACATTCAATGATAAAAATGTATTTCAAAATCTTAGAATCGTCATATGCGCATAGCCAAGGGTACATATTACAATGAAAAGTTATTCTAATTTTATTATTATTATTATTGGACGTTTATAAACTAAGTTCCTGAGAAAATAGCTTTTCTCCCAACGAGAAGCCCTGCCCTCTCCCAAAGACATGGGTGTCATTTTCAGTCGATATCGCCAAAATACATACTGTCTACCTCTCTTATCGATCGCCTCGTACCCCGCCCCTAGTAGCCGAGCCCATTAAAATAGTGGGGACTTAGTAATGTAAACAAGAATCGACTTGTCTGTTTAGCAGATAGCAGGAAGCAACACAGCACGAAGCGTCTCTGCTGGTAAACAAAACCCAGCACTGAATTCTGCCCAGGTTCGTCTGCTACCGTACGGAAAGGTTGGAGCACGGATGAATGCCATTCATTACTAACGTATTCATCATCGTTCTCTCTTTTAGGGTGCACACAGCCAAACTCATGCTATTCAGAGAGATTTAACGGACAACTAAGCAAAGACGAGGTCAAGATGAAAAAAGGCTACTGTGCGCGGATGCTGCTTGTGTCCCATATACACTTTTGCTGCGTCCGCTGACTATCGGAGAATTTGGATAACTTCTGCTTTCGTCTGTGTCCTGTCTCGCCCTTTCTGTCTACCATTCAATCGTGCCTTACGTAGTGTTGCTGAAGGCCATGTGTGGTATTACGGGGCCACCTCTTTGTTTATCATTGTCTGGCGGTAGTGTCTTGCGTGGTTGGCAGTGATGATGATAATAGAGCGGGGAGCAGAGTTAGCATAGTACTGTTGTCAGTGGCGACAATGAGAACGGCCATCGTCTTCGTTGGTGAAACAACAAAGTAGATTCTGCCTACAGAGCAGATAGCTGCAGAAATCCCTGAGTTTGTGAGCTGTTGATGCCGGTGATTCGTGCGGTGTCGTAAAAAAAATCACGCTGTGTATAGAATTGCCCGGGTGGCTCATACAGTTTTTTCTGACAAACGAGTGGCAGGGAAAAAAGAAAAGGAGAGATCTACAATAAAATACACGGAATACCAAGCTGAAATCACTGTTGAGAGCGGAGCAACAACGGAACACCGATAGCATCTACGATACTGTTCGCAAGAAAGGAAACGAAATTCGTTCCGAAAGTTACCTACTACCATCAGGAACGAGTGAAGAAGTCGGAGGTTGCTTAATTCGATCATGTGCGATCCGCCCGTGTAGTGAGCGACACGGTTCGCTGCCGGCTGGGGGCCTGTGAAGACCAGCGCCTGAAGCCGACACTGCTCATGGCTTCAACACGGCAGATCAAGTCGAAGAACATCAAGATCGGCCGCCCCATCCTGGCGCTATGGTTAGCATTTACCACTTCGCTATGCTGCGGTGTCGCGGCCTCGGCATCAGCTGCCTCCTCAGCAGCTGCTAGCTCTACGGGGGCAGGAGACACTAGCGCTAGTACCTCCACAGCCAGCGGCAACCGACTGATGGATACGGAGGAACGACTCAGGCTCAGGTGAGCAGAGAACTAAAATAGGACCAAACTGAAAACGATCCGGTGAAGAAGCGACTTTGTTTTCACCACTATAGACAAAGAATTTCGTAATGTAGATTCATTAGCCGAGAGAATGCACCAGGGCAGTAAAAATAATTGGTGCAGTTACGACGCTCACGATGCTCTAGCAAATGTCCGGCTCAGAAAGGTGTTTCAAGCGAGATAAAAAATGCGTATTTGTCTATTTGTCCATTGTTGGCTAGTAGTTCGAGGTAGCATACCTGGAAGACGATAGGATACGTGTGCTGGATAGGTTAATTGTGCTCGCTGCATTCATTGGCTTATCGTATTTACTAGTCACGTACAATGGGAGTTCCACCTCATATCATAATGATAACTATAAAGTGCAAAAGCGACCATAAGCAGAAACGTATCAAGGGGCAAATGAAAAGATATTAATGACCAAATATTGGATAGTGTGGTACATGTACATGAAGGTTTGATTTCATAGTATATCCACCACCGATGATAGGCATCACTTAATTTCGGCCAACTGTTCAAAAGTAATATGTATAAGGCGTGGAATCATGGCGATTCTAATTGGTTATTAATACATTTCTAAGATAGATTCTATGCCGTAATATTTATGATCTAATTCTCGTATCATGATGTTGAGATAACAGGTTTGATCACGATTGTCTCGTCAATACTCCGCTGGTACATAGGAGCTGTTCCTAAAGGCACGGCCACATTATAGACTATGTCATGCATTTGGAAACGGGCAGTGGGGTAGCAGTTATATTACTTGCTTATACTAATGGTTCTGTTTTGTCGGCCAAGTCAATAGTCTCAACGCCCCACCAATTTTTCCAACGATCGTAACAGCATTGAGCGGTAAAGGCGTTACAGTCGAAGCGCCTATATAGCAATAGCTACGCAGTTAGTTTTTTCCAACAAGTTATCACCTGTTGGTAAAGCAGCAAAGCTAGAAAATAAAGAAGAAATGGTAACGCGAACAGGCCCTGCCGGCGCGTTTAGGTACTGAAACGTCAGACCATCTATGCTAACTCTAGTAATATGAGTGATACGTAGCATTTGATTTAGGCAGCCCTGATCTGGTTGTCGTCGAGTTTATAGCCGCTAATGACCGAAGCGTGACCTCCTGAAATCCAGGACGTATATATATATATATATAATGCGTATTTCGAACGACAATCTGTCCACATTTCGTTCGTGTCGGTACATAACTTTTGTGTAACAACTTTAGAAACCTGCGTACTTTAGCATTGTGGTCATGCTACTCGTGTTCAGAAGACGCTTCAGAAGTTACCTGTGATCGCATAAATCGAACATCATCCAATTATAAGAACTAAAGGAACCGTAAGCGTGTAAGCGAGTTGATTTTTATTTGCGCTTTGTCGGCTAATACATAGCTGGGGGGGGGGGGGGGGATGTCAATAATAGAAGCGTTTCAAGTATAGATGAATACATTGTTCGTAGTTTTTACCTTAATTTAATATTTTATCGGATTTTGCATGCTACAGCCTCATTCCATTTGATTTTTATTACACCTTTCGCGTTCTTGATCAGATGAATGCGAAAACGTTTCTGACCTCATGGCGCTCTGAGAATCTTAATGTAAATTTTCATTGTGTTTTTCTTGTTGCCAAACGGAACTAAGCAGTAATGCCTGGAATTCCTGCACGTCCCCCTCATCGTATGCGAAGTAGCTAAGAACCGATGTCGAATTTTCGGTCCGTATGCAGGTACAGCATTGAAACGGCCTCATAACAAAGCCACATGAACGTTGGCCTTAGTGGCTTCTTGCCCAAAACCTCCCTGTGAGACTGACGTTGACTCTCAAGGCACAATATGCTTCCCCGCAGCTTGCTATCAAAGTAGAATCAGAAGTTTAATTATTTAAAGTCAAAAGTTGAATTATTACAGTAGAATTTTATTAACTTATATTTTATTATCGGAAATGTTCTTAACTTTCAGGTACAACCAAAGGTAGTACATCATTTGTTTTATTTATTACGTGCCTCTGTAACGCATATTTGGATCCCGATGTTGAGTCAACGTTACAGGTGGTCCAACAATCGAATGCAGATTTCCTTCTTAGTCAGCATTAGCGCGGCCTATGATTAGTAGCATTCTTTTTAGAAAACGTGGTCATTAATGCGGGGTCTGTTGGGATCCGACGATTGTTAGTAAACTATGTAGTGAGCCAGCGCGACATATGCGAGTGCCATTCATTATAATGGGGTCGAACCTGTGATAGTTCCTATAATCAAAACATAATAGTATGATTAAATATCGATAATCTTTCTATTTGTATCGTTACTGTATTCCTAAACTTATTATAAAATAGAAGCGTTTTTGCAGTGCACGTTACCGGTCGATACAAGGGCAGGCTCCGAAATCAGAAGCTTACTGGCCTTTACTCTTCCCGAACGAAAGGCTTGTGTACTGCCCAGCAGACTCGATATATTATTAGTGTTCATGTATGTGTGTATATAACCGGCTTGCGTGTGGATGCTTCCGCGGCGTGGCCAATAAATTACTCATCATATAACGTATTGATTTTATTTACAATTTAGTATTTAATGATGCATCGATATATATACAGATGTCAGATGTCCAGTTAGAGTTTTTGCTCAAACATACATTGCTACACTGCGTTATTAATTTTCCCCCTAATTTCCATAACGTGATATATGTTTTTAATTGTGTCCTGTTCGACAGGCCTTTCTAAAGACGATCGAGGCCGAACACACGATCTCCAACAAATAACGCAACCTGTGTAGCGCAAATAATTCTCATTGAGGTTTTTCCAATTGATTGGGTTCCGAAGCTTTCACTTTTTAGAGCATCCTACACAAAATATCAGTGTTTGTGTGACGGTAGTATAGCTTATGCTGTGCTGATTTGTGCAGTGTCGTTGACAACATGTGTTATAATATGTATCTGGGTTGTACAAGCACTGATGGCTACGGTACAATTACATGTGTATGGAGTGGGACGACATGTGTAGTGTGCATTGTCACATGCGAGCTTTAATATAATGATTACCATCAAATATTGAATGGCCCTTCCCAGCTGAAGTTATTAACTGATCGCTGTTGCTGGTGTTATTTGCAGGGATCAAGTGAAAGAGATGTTTCTGCACGGCTACAACTCATATATGGTACGTACGTAAAACATTGTTTTAAAGGATATCTGCCCATTTGTGCTGGGCTTGTGGCACTATTTATAGACATATGGAAACAAATGAACTGTGGATGATTTATCTGCAAGTTTCAGTCAACTTTAATGAAATTAATAAGTTTGTGATACGTATCACAAACTAGTCACGATCCTGTTCTACAGTTCTTGTATCATATCACAGCGAAAGGGTGGTATGTACGACTCGGGTGTTTCTGGCTATAGAGGGCCCGCGGTGATTTGCAGCTCGCCATGCCAAATAGTTGTATCGAATAAAGGTGCGCTTGAATTACACTTTACACAATTTCCACGAATATACGCATCGTTACGTGCTTACGTTAGAGCAGTTTATCTTCGCTATGTATACAGTCGACCTTCACGTTTACCTTCGAATCATTTATCTTATCCTCTCGAACAACCTTCGACCTCGTTTATAGTATATCGCATTATATTCTATTGAAACGCTTCACTGCACTCTAAGGTGTCTCAAATGCGCTAGAAAGAAGGGAGAATAAAAGCAGCATCAATTTAGTTCAACCACCATGTTCTGCATACAGCTACCCTCTATCTACATCTACGTACATTCATCATTCGCTGATAAAAAAATTATTTGGCCAGTTCGACATCACAGGGTTAGGAGTGGAGGGGGGACGTAGAATTGATTTGTGCAACACAACTCCACTCAGCATGGTACTGTTTCAGTAGCAACGATGATTAATGTTGACTGCACGACCCGACTCGAACTACTAACACACCCCGACACGTTGAAGGTCGAAAGCATTTTGTTCATGTTAGCTTTTCGGCGACTAAACGTGATGCCCTGATTTCGACGTGCACCTCTACCGTATGCTACCCCCATAGTGACCTCGTAGCATTCATAGTTACTTCTGTAGCATTTTGGCTTCTGACCGCCATGAACAAAGAGGCGTATGTGGCACCGTCGCCTTCCATTCATTTGTTGGCGGAATTGACGTGGCGGATGTGGGAGAAATTTTATAAAAATCTTGGTGAATCTTGGTGGTGGCTGAGGCCGGCGAGGTACAAAATCCGCTCCGGGAACGTATTAATTAGATGTTAATTCATTAATACGAATGGTGGACACATGCCCATTAGCATGTAAAATGAAGACAATTGTTTGTATTAAGTAAGCGCAATGGGCCCTCACAGTAGTGCAATGGGACGCGCGTTTGCCGACTATACCTAGAGAAACCCGAAATAGACTGTGCTCGAATCCGGGCGCAGACGTATGTGTTGGAAGCAGCCAACTTTAGTTTAAATAACCGGATATAAGGCTCGAAACAAGTAAATAATAATTAGTTCGTCATAGATGTATATGCACGCCACATTACCTCATTATAAGACTGGCACCTCTAAAACGTATTGTGTATGTATCTCTTGAAGAAATGCATACATTTGCGGTGCCGAAGCGACGCTATTTGATGATAAGCTGTCCAAATGTAGATCGATTAATCAGCGCTTGATAAGTGTTTCTGAATCGATCATCAGTAATAATGATAGCTAACGCCGTATTATCTCTTTATTATTATAGGCCCACGCTTTTCCAGCAGACGAATTAATGCCTTTGAGTTGTAAAGGTCGATTTCGGGGTGTCGAGGAAAACCGTGGCGACATCGATGACGCACTGGGAAAGTACGTATTTATGTTAACCGTAAAACATCAGTAAAAACTGTTAAAGAACTTACGAAGATTTACGGTTCTGCTGCCACAAAACCAGATTAGTGTAGCGCCTATTGGCACTAATTAAATACAGATTAGCTACTTAATACAAGTTAGCAATATTGTTTGTGACACGGCAGGGACCAGTATAGAATATATCACGAATAGGGAGTGCAGTAACATTTACGCTGGTCAAACACTAGTGATGCCGCTTAGCAAAGCAAACAGCTGAAATTAGAAATTCAGATAGGAAATATATTTGAGGAACATTGCCCGGAACCAAACCTGTAATCTCAGGACGATAAATCCGACGCGGACATATACACCCTCAATGCAGCTGTGAATAGAGATTACTATGAGACATGTACAAGAAACTTTTCAAATAGATGTAGATTTCTAACGTATGGTAATGTTACTCTACAGTTTTTCTCTCACGCTCGTTGATTCGGCGGACACCTTGGTCATTCTCGGGGAGTTGGATGAATTTGAGCGGGCTGTAAAGCTGATTATTGAGAACGTCCGAGTAGACAATGATGTAGTCGTGTCTGTGTTTGAAACAAATATTCGGATGCTTGGGTAAATAAACGCTCTACTACTATAGTATTACTATCTATATTATAACTACAGCAACGATATTCTTTTCCCGTAAAATATGTAGATCATATATTTGCATTTCTATATAAAAAAAAAAATGCACATATTTCACATCGGAAACGCGGACAAGTTTTCTGTATCTTTGTTAAAGGGGCATATAGGTAATCATTCTAACCCAGCATGGATCTTCTTAATCTTCTAGGGGCTTATTGAGTAATCACATCTTAACAAAATATCTTCAAGAGACTCGTGGCCGAATGCCATGGTACAACGGCGAACTGCTTGTGCTGGCAAAAGAGCTTGGTTTGCGGCTGCTTCCGTCGTTCAATTCTACAACAGGTTAGTGGTAACCATCCATATATGTCGCCTCTAAAACTAAAGCAGAAAAACCATTACGAAGCTTTCAATAGATATACAGGTTATCGGTACCGCAATGAGAGTATGACTGAAGAGTTTGCTTACTGTTCTCAGGATCATGTGAAATTGTCCGAATTTAGAATGGACCATCAACAACAGGTAGTCGTTCGAGGGAATGCTTAAACGACCGTGATAACGTAAAACTCGAACTAACCAGTTTAAATGTTCTGCTGATGAGCAAGAATATAGAAACTATAGTTAATGAACATGAATTAACTTCTATAGTTGATACACTATACGGTGAATAAAAGGTATATTCGGAGGTAATCAAAATGCGGTGACTAAGGGCCCTTCGATTTGTCTGGCCTGTTCTTTATTGGTCGGTCCGTAAAGAAGTTTCCGATGGGTCTTAATAATAAATATCTATTTGTGTTATATCTAATTTTTATTTGCTGCAGGCATCCCGCACCCCCGCATAAATCTTCGCTGGGGCATGAAATCTCCGTCGATGCCAAAAGCCAGCGAAACCTGTACTGCCTGTGCGGGAACGATGCTCCTTGAGCTCGCAGCATTATCCCGGTTGACCGGCGAATCGGTTTTTGAAGCAAAAGCACGCAAAGCCATGGATTACCTTTGGCTGCAGAGGCATCGGTAAATACTAGTTAATCAAAAAGCAATACCCTGCATCCAGTGCGCATCTTACGTTCTGGAGAAGGAAGGATAATCTAGAGGAATTTTCTAGACTCATTATCATGCCCCAACGGTGTTCGTTATATTATAGCAGCTAATTTGATAGCCAAATATTTGTCCTAGAATTAGCCTGGATTCATCTAGACTGAAATAAACATTCGGCTTGGTTTCCTCAACTGACTTAAAAATCGCTTTGACAAATGATGTGTTTTGTTTTAAATTGGTTTCATGCCCTTAATTACCATAATAACTGTGTTTGTGATTTCTCATTTTAACTTATCCAGCTCATCTGATTTAGTCGGTACTGTGATAAACGTTAACAGTGGAGATTGGGTGCGACGTGACTCTGGGGTTGGTGCGGGAATCGACTCATACTACGAATACTGCCTCAAAGGCTACATCCTGCTGGGTGAGGATGCGTACCTCGAGCGCTTCGAACGTCATTACGCTGCTGTGATGAAATATATCTCGCAGGTTTGTTTCCTATTGAGTGGTGACTGTTTTATTATAGGCTGAATAGAGTGAATAACGTACAGCATATTACAATTGGTACTTAGTTATGATGCAAATATATCTGAAGCTCTCTTTTCAACAATATGGCTTGTGATAAATTATGAGCAGCGAAAGAACGGAGCGTAGTAGGAAGGTGGCACGACAAGCTGCGACGAGTGGTTTTATGAAAATACAAAAAAAATATGGAGTGGAGGGTACACCGATAACAGGCCAAAACTACCGTAGAAACAACCAACTGTTTTAGCAAATATAAGAAACTGCTTTGCAATTTATTATAGTTTTTAAGTCACATACTACCGCTGTGCTTTGGAGTATATTCTTAGTTATTAAATTTAATTGCTGCAATTCGAATTTTTGTTCAGCTGCGGTATTCAAACGTGTTTTTTTCCGGTAATCACCGAATCTAGATGTTAAAGGAATATGAATGATACAATAAATACCTGCACAATGCAAATATAGTGCATTAGGAACTAGACAACTTTTCTGCTATTTACTGTTGTTTGCATTCTGCCTTACTTAACAGCTTATAAAATGATGTTACACAAGGCTGAAGCTATCTAACAAAGACTTCCAGGCCGCCCGGCGTTATGTTTCTGTTTTTTGTCCTAGCTTTTCTTTTTGTTGGTGGCTGAAAGACGCCCTCATGTATGACGAAGTCGTATTCGCTGGAAATGTTTACAGGGTCCCATGCTTGTTGACGTTCACATGCATCGCCCAACAACAAATGCAAAGAATTTTATGGACGCATTGCTTGCCTTCTGGCCTGGTCTCCAGGTGCTGAAAGGCGATATTAAGCCCGCCATCGAAACGCATGAAATGTTGTATCAGGTGATGCAGCGACACAATTTCCTTCCGGAGGCATTCACTACAGACTTTCAGGTCCACTGGGGACAGCACCCGCTCAGACCAGAATTCATCGAAAGTACATATTTTCTCTATAAGGTCAGTGTTAAAGTATTGGTATAGAGCTTTAGTATCGGATCCGTTCAATCTCGAGATCTTACTTTTCACTCTAGTTAGATTTCAATACTGAAGCAGACACCGGGAAGTCAGCTAAACAATTACGAGGTTCATAAAAAACATCGACTTCATGCAAAAAAAAAAAGAAAACTTAGAAGCAAACATTTTCCTGTCATAAGTCTTACTATTGAATTTAAATGGTTGTGTATTTGTATATGTTTAGGCAACGGATGATCCATATTATCTAGAAGTGGGTCGTCGGGTCGTGGACTCTCTGCAAAGCCTAGCCAGGGTTCCATGCGGCTTTGCTGCTGTTAAAGACGTTCGAACAGGTTCGAAAGACGATCGTATGGACTCGTTCGTTCTGGCAGAAACATTCAAATATCTCTATCTTTTGTTTGCTGATAAGGCCGATGTGCCACTTGCAATCGATCAATTTATATTCACAACAGGTAAGTACCCATGCCTATTATTATCTTCTTGCCGTAGGATCGAGACAGGCTAAATGGAAAGACAGTTAAGTCTATTCACAAAAGTTCATCTACCTAAAAATTGTGACGAATCTTATGCTTTTCTTCTTCTTTCTTCTTTGTTATTATAATTTTGTTTCAATGACATTTTTGTTTCTGTTCTTCTAACATTATTCCCACAGAGGCGCACCTGCTCCCCCTGAGTCTCTCTCAACGACGTCCTTCACCGGCATCAACCGAGTTGAACACAACAGCCTCGCTGGCTGCTGGAGCCATCGGAACTTCGGCTGGAGTTACTTTGCTCCATAGCCGTTATGCAGCTGACACGGCTGAATGCCCGAACAGCGAAGTGGCCCGTAATGCGGATAAGGTTCGCTTGCCGCTTAAGAACCTAGTCGAGGACACCTGCCCTTCACAGCCCGTCAAGTACGTCTTCCTAGACGATCTCCTCAGTCTTGCCATTCATTACGGTAGCGAGATGTCGGCGAGTGAAATTTTTCTTCAGGTTATCACAATCTTGACCCAGCGGCTTTGGTTGTGGCCAACGCTGAATGGCGGGAAGGGCGAGCCCGTTGCTACCAGTCACGTGAGATTGATGAATCGATGTTGGCAGGGCCCTACCTTTTTAGACGGCAAGCCACCTCGTATTAGTACGTTAATCATTTTTCTTTTGTTGTATTCGTGCTTCGTAACCGTACTATATCGGCAGAGTTTACGAATCTTTGCTCGATTGTGACGCACGTAATGCACTGGGCGAGATTAAGTCATGACAAACTTGGAGTGCGATATTGCTTCAGCGATATAACAAGTTCGCTTGTGAAGGGATTTAACGAATGACGAAATTTTTGCTCAGAGAAGTGACAAGTAACGCCTGTACATGTGCTGCTCTCTTTGTGCACTGTTACGTCTATTGCGTCGTCATTTGATGCGCGCCATTTAATTTTGGTCAACTCCGACGAGCGCGTAGACTGAAGCAACTCAGTGTAACATTGATAGGCGTTTAAAATCATTTGGCCGAGTTTGGGCAAGAGCGTGTAAAGTGAAAAACAAGGTAGGTTAAGTAGCGAAGCATATTGTGGAGAATAAAACGATACCTAGTATGTTGCTATTTGGCTTAACATAGGTGTTCGAACATCGTTACAAGTACTCCCTAGTTAAAATCTGTCCTATCGCTGTTAAATCTGTCCGGCTCAGTACAAGAAGTACGTAGGATTTTTATAAGGTTAGAGTATTTAGAATTTTTGAAGAGAGCTCTATAATTTCAACGTACCTTATTCACTTTGGGTCTCATTTTAGCTATTGCATGCGTCTGCTACGCGCGAAACCACTCTAGAAGTGCTAAAACGGGAGCACAGTGCTTAATTTGTGCTGGCCTCCATACACACCCATATAAATAATTTTACAGCTTTACCATCTTAAAAAATGTACCACACCCTCATGGGTTTTGATTAACCCATCACATAATTATTACAGCTGAGCTAACCGCGCACATCTCTTTCGCTCTCGAAAAGCCAGATATAATTTTATAGGTTTTAATTGTTGTAATGTGGCATTTTCAATATGCCAGAAACTTGTAACGCGAAATATCATCGCCGAAAGTTTTTGTTCTTATCCAAGAGAGGAAATACGGTATTCAATCGTCACGTTATGTCCATTTCCATGGTTTTCTGTAGTTTTGTAGATTAGGCTCAAAGCAAAGCTAGTCATTTTCTTCATGCAGCATCTACCATCATAGCTGTGCGTATCAAATATAATATCATTATGTGCGACATTTTATTATGACCACGTAACAGTTGGTCGTCCTTAAGCAGAGTCGTAGGCATCAAAGGGTAAGGACAAATAGGATCCCTTGTGGACCTTTGATAATAATTTAGAATGAGACAGTGAACCAGCTTGCCCTGCCGACCCAAAAACGTTTTGTTGTTTAGAGAGACGGAACAGACTGTTTTATCTTAAATTCTTAACAAAATGCTGACATGATTCCCAACAACTAGGAAAAAAGGAATGTCGGAGGTAGTTGGCGTCATCCATAATATTAACTTAGTATAATGCCCTGTGGATGACATATATTACTTTTTTTTAATAAAAAAGATACCGCAGCGGCCCATCCCTCTAAAAAGACTTTTTCGCTACGACGGCTTTGAGGCAAGATTTAGCTGATCATTGTTAAGACTGCAAAGCTCACCACATGCCTTCAGTGATATAGTGCAGCTATGAAAATTGTAGGATCGCTCAGGTTTGACTTTCCGAAATCTAACCTCTACTCCACATTTTTTAATCACTGTTTAAAGCGAACGCTTTAGTTTAACATTTTCTTTAACCTGTTTCAAGAATTACTAAAACAATCTTAGAATTTATATCCCAGTAACCCCCTGAGTGCCAAGGGATATAGGCTTCTTTGTAGCTCATCGACGAAATCCTATACGGAACCAGGGGAAGTGGACGCTAAACTTTCCAATTGAATTATTTGAATATTATGGTTATCACCTGAACAATACGGTAGAAGGCTGTAAAGGCTTCTCAGTATCTGTAAGCTTTCATTATTGGAAAATCTTTTTCTGGCCACGTTTTTAGAATTGATTTATATTAAGTTCATATTGTTTCCGTATATTCCAAACATTGTCACACAAATTGACGCTACGCGCGGTTCCTATTGCCATACAAAGTTATTCCCTAGAGCAAAAGACGTTTCTCATCACTGAGCATATTTCTATTCTACAAGTTTAAAAAAAGGTCGATTACACAGTAATGACTGACCTTGGATACAAAGATTTCAAAGAAATAAAAGAAGTAACCAAACTGAGAATGTTGACACATACATATATATATATATATATATAAATATATATATATATATATATATATATAAATATATATATATATATATATATATAATCTAAGCATGCAATAAATCTACAAATTTGAATTTCCGTTGCTTCATTTTTTTAGTGTTTTCATTTAAGTTTTTCTACCTGTTTCGAGTCTTCATCAGTTATTTTTCCCGTTATGTTGTGAGCTCACCTGGTTCCCTGCATTGATTAGATGCGTTTTATTGTTCACACCATCTACGCACACACGCAAGAAATTTATTAACTTTCGTTCCATTATGCTAGCCGTGCCCCTATTATTGATCACGCTCAACGGTTCTATGGAGATCAGGTGTATGATCTTGCCCGACAACTACGAAGTAGGCCAAGACAGTGACAATAATAGAAACTTAACAACTAAGGGCATATACAAACGTGGATTTTGCTTTTTTTTTTTTATTCTGGTTACAGTCTGTAGTGAACGCAAGCGTCGTCAGAATAGTAGAATTGACGACCTAAACCACGCGAATGTTATTGGTAAAGAGGACATATTGTGTATTTTCACGCGACTTTTGGCGTGCCGTTATTGACTGTACAGGAAGTAGTACACAATTAGCATTCAGGTCACGTTGCTACGAAAAAGGATTTAAAACGTTCTTTGGTTATCCTGCTACAGGTCAATGGCTTCTTCTCACTTCTCTCGTTTACGCTAAATAGACGCGCAAAGGGATGTTAGTGATAAATGTGATATTAACTTTAGCCAAAGATGATGAGGTAAATTATTTCGCAGATTTCTAAGCTGTTACGGCTGACTTGTCACTAACGGTGGATTAGACCCTTGAACTAAGAAGTTGTTTTCTCAAGCATTTAAAGGTCCACATCTACGTTGAGAGAAAGCTGCGATTGGTTTGCATGATGCGCATTGCGTCACTAGTTTGACCAGTTACTAAATAATGGTTGAATTAATTATCTATACGGTGTAAGTATCTATATAGCATTATTTCGTGATATTTCAGTACTGTATCATTTGCTGTTATCGTTTATGCATTTGGTTTCGTTTCATCTACGACAGGAAACGACGTCTACTGGCATCTCAGTTCGATGTATCTAATCCGCTCCACGTGCAGTTAGCTCGCCAGATGGGTGTACAAGTTGCTGTGCTGGGCGACGGTCGAATGCAATTGGTCCATAATGCGGCCCACGCCGCGTCATCAGCGGATGGTCAGGAAGGCCTGCTGTTCATGCACGAGATGATTCAGTTAGCGAAACAGACGAATAGTCGTCCGGAAACTGAGATGCGATCCGTGCAGTTCATGAGAGACGACGACAAACTCGTCGTAATACCGGCGGGTCCGGCCCAGTTCGGTCCTGATCTCGGGAATAGTAACAATCAAGTAAGTCTTAAGGTCGATTCCTAACCAGTTAGTGAATCAAACTTGAGTCGAACCAAGCAGACTGCTTAAGGTTTATGTATGTTACTCGTTAACGGCCTCGTTTGTCATTAGTTCAGTAAATTTGGCGGCTGTTGTAAATAATGTCAATAGCTTCTGCTGCCACCATGTCAAATTCTTGGCACCTGCAAATTAGTTACCGTAACTATATATATACGACATGATGTTGTCGGAATCGCAGGTTCTGTTGCCCATCTTTCCGTCGACATTCGGGCTAATAGGTCAATATTCATTTTTCAAATATAGATGGAAATCCAAAAAAACATGATCATTCCACAGTTGACAGCAATATCGTTAAGCCTTGATATCGGAGCCCTTTGTCGTTTTTCGTCTTGTGGCTCGGAAAATTACTACACCAAAACAACTCTGTGTACTCGCATTTTAGCCTCTGTCTGTCCATATGAATTTTTGGGATACAGGTGTCTGGCGAAATAGTGTTGGCCGCCCCTCCGAAGGTGTGTCATGGCGTAGCCAACTGCGCGGCGATGACCGGTCGTATCGCGTTATTGGAGCGCGGTGACTGCATGTTCATCGAGAAGGCTCGCCACGTCCAACGTTGTGGCGCAATTGGTGCCATTGTCTTGGACACCGCTCCGGACACATCTGCGCGTGCGGCAGCCATGTTTGCCATGTCGGGTGACGGGGGTCAAGATGATCCGTCGATTCCGGTTCTATTCCTTTTCTCACTGGACGCTAAACCCCTTCTAGAGGCAATAAAAGTACAGCCCAAGCTGCAGGCAAGTGAAAATTTGTGTTTTTCGATGAGCCTAAACCCTATTTCGCAAACAGAACGACAACTATTGAACCATAAATGGCAAGCAGTGCTAACACTGGATGTAGTTTTACTATGATAGGGTCACTTAGTGTCGTTTAGAGTCGGTGTGTAAAATGTTTTTGAATTTGACGCTTATATTTACAGAAAAATGCCGTAAAAATGTACTAAATACTGATATACTATTGTGTCAAGAAAGTATTGAGAAACCAGCCTCATAAGAGGGTGCTCAGAGGAGCTAAGCATCTTATACGAATCATGTTGGACTATTTTTTAGCGTCTTTGGAGATGAAAAGGTTCACGTCACTGACTATGCTTAAAGGCCTTTATTTAGAATAGAATGAATATAGTATTCACTTGATCTAGCCTCCTGCGATTTAGCAAAAAAAGCCTAAAAGGATAACTTAGGACAATCGAGAAAATCCAAAGGCGAAGATTTTGATTTGAGAGGCTGATTGATCTAAAACTTCGTTCAAACGTATTTTCAAAACTACATAGAACCCGGCGGGAATTTTGTTTTTAGTACATACTGGAAAACTGATGTACAACTGTTAAGCTGTTACCAAGTAAATCCGACACACTTGGGATTGGATAACTTTTTTTTTTTTGGTTGAGCGAGAGTGAGGGATTTTTTATATGCTTGTTCCAACACTTTAGCATATTCTGGACGTATACTTGTTCTTGGGATTTTCATATATGATTTTTCTATCTACAGCTTATCGAAATAAATCGATAGTAGAATATGCTTACCCAGAAGTAGCCCTTTCCAGACCAGGAAGGCCCCATAATCACAAGAACTTGGATCGGGAGAATCAATGGGTTGAAGCCCAATTTGAGTATTTTCATCTATTTCACAAGTCGGGAAGTAAGGGGAGCATGATACTGAGGCCTGACGTTGTTATAAAATGACTAGACTGCATGTCTTCGACTGTACTGGCTATGGTCCATGAGTCTCCTGAGTAACTCGAAATAGCGGGCCGCATCCACTGTTTCGATTTTTACGTGTATTTCGCAAAGTAGTTTTTGTCTTAGTTCTTATATTCAAAGCTCTGCTTTTGTGAAAAGACGACAGTGCATTCCTGTATTTCGGATGCCGACATCCGATTCCCTCTTCACTGGTCTTCAACACTTCAATTTCGGTTTTTTAGAACGCTTGCAGCGTTCATACACTGTGTTTGCACTTATGGTCTTTTTTCGTAATCTATTCACCAGTCTTCAGTTAATTTCCGTAGTACTGTGGCCTTTGAGAAACAAAAACTTGACTACTAAGCGTTCATTTTCAAGACTAATGTGGATGTTTTTCCTTCTGTTATTCCTTAAATTTAACTGGTTTTCAATCACAAGTTTAAGGCTTACTAGAATTTTTACACGCGAAATTCAGGTCCGTATTGCAAAAGCTATTGAATTTCAAAGCCCGCCGGATTCGTTTGTAATAGCCTAATAAATGTATGTTTGCGTAACTTGAATTTTGACGACTAAGGTTAGTACGAAGTCGAATTCTCGAGACTTTTTTTTTTTATCATCATCTACATTTCTATACATATAGTGTTGTAAATGAAGACAGTCGTGGTCGCAAAAAAGTGCTTGCTTATTACTGTTATTTGGCACATCAATGAGGTCTAGGCTACTTTTACAGTAAAAGTTGCTAAGCGACTCTAACGTTTGCCACTAAATGAAAGCTCGGAAGCTCTTTGTTAAATCACATATCTCTGGCTAAATACCTTACGAGACGATTTCCATGGAAAAGCCAAGTAAACTCACTGTGGTCAACATGTTTGACGAATATTCCTAATGTTGTTTAATTTGATATACCTTGGGCACCTTGTCCTTTCTCTTCCTTTTTGTAGGTGACACTTGGAGACGCTGTCCCTGCCGGTCCTGTCTTGCCCACATCAGGGGGTTCCTTGACGAGCGGCGCGTCGGGCAATGCAGACAGCACTGATGGCACTGTCGCTAGAAGTGTTCCCGGTGCAGGCGACTTCGAAGCCGACCTCAATAAATTACTACAGCAGATCCATAATTTACAAGCTAGTCGTTTCCCTGACCTCAGCAAGTACAAAGATCGGCTCAAGAAACTTCTGCTGAACATCCTTGTTAGACAGAGCAAGGACTTCAACTCAGCACTAGCGAAGCTGGGTATGTTGGGCGTGGTCGAGCCAGACGACCCACTCGGCGCACTCCCGGACGCCTGCGATCCTCACAGCTGTACGAATCCGGCAATCTCTCAAGAACTATTGGCTGATTACTTCGCCGGTCACGTTTGTCAAATGTGTCCTCTTACGACGTAGGTGCTCTGCGGTGGTAGACGGCGGCAAAGGCAAAAAATTAAGAAGTCAAAAAGGGAAAACAAATTAATTTTCTAACAAATCCGCCGCCTCCCTTGTGTCTTGCTATTATTAATGTAGTGTAATATGTATGTTAAATTTGATATTTTAAGTTTCCTACTGTCGCGAGGGGATTCGTCTACCTCACGTGACAACAGCGAGAGGACAGAATTTTGCCGAAGAAAAATTTTCATACACAAAGCTATGGCATCAAACACGCGACATAGGGTGTGTGCTGTTCATGCATGTTGGCGCCGTATTTACTTGCTATTAGTTTGCAAGTTCTTCAGTAGGTTCCCTTGGCCTGCTTAGACCTGGTTGAGAAAGACAACTACCGTAACATACCGATATTAAGACAACCGTAACAACGTTACAGATGTATTAGTTGACGTGGAGAAACGTTCGCGATACGGGTTCCTGTTTTCACGGTGGTCTCATTGTTGTCGGTCTAATTGTTGGGGTACCGGGGAAAGCGGGCGGGGGGATTCAAAAGTAATAAACGGCTGGTTATTGGAGGACAGATATTCGAAATACGAAGGACGATAATCTAAAATCGTAGCGTATTCATTACTAGTTGGTTTGAAAGATCATCAGCATATACGTGTTCACACAACTAGTTAACTATAATGCTTGAGAAACAAATTGTCCCCTGGACAACGGCGTGTTGGTCGGTTGTCGCCAGTGCAGTGTACGACATACACTATCAGGTATTACGCAATAGGTGGCCAATCAACGTAGTAATTTGTGTGACTGGACTGTATGAAAGGACAACGAAGACGGAGAGGGATAGGGAGAAAGTAACAAGTATTTCAAGAATAGAACAGAGGAATTGTCTATGGCCACTTGCGCACGCTCCTTCTAATCGTCAGCTTAATTTTTCACACATTTTTCTAAAAATTGTTTGCGTAGAGCAGAATTGACAGATATATGTAACACTCTTTGTCAATAACGATATGATTATGACAAATGTGACAAATACGAAATGTTGCTTATTGACTACTTACAGCCGAGCCATTCGTTTCGTTCGAGAGGTTTCTTTCTCTTTCATACGCTCTTACTTCTTACCTGCTTATTACTGATTACTAAAGTCGCTGAACATTTTCGATCCTCGTCGATGGATTTCTTTTGGCTTGTCTTCAGTTTGTTCGACCTCGGTGGCCCCTTTTTGTTAGCGTTATTAGCACTGTGGTCTTATAACTGCGTGGACAACGTCAATGCTTTAGTGACTACTGTTTGGCGTGGAATAGTCTGGGCAAACATTGTCTGCGTATTTCGTCAATTTTCAAACCTTTCTTTCATTTTTGTTCTGTTTCTGTTATTGATCTGATTCCTGACTGAAGTTACTAGGGAAAGCAGTTTGAGGATTATAATGATGCTGTTGATGACAAGCGCGGTCACAATGAATAAGACAACTTGGCAAAGCCTACCAAACTTCTTGCCCCAGACTTGTCACGATATCCCTTTCAACGAATACGGCCCCATTATAATTGCTATCATTAATTTTGCCTGAGGCCAATGATCGTTGTGCAGCACATGTCACACAACAAAAAAAGACTATATCAATACGGAAGAAACGAAAAGGGGACTTGACGTTCGAAAGGGCGGAAGCACCGCTCTCTGATCTTGAGGTGATCACCTAGACCTTTCGCTAACTATAATAAAACGTGATAGCTAGGAATATCGAACGAGAAATATGAAGACTAGTTAGTTAATGGGATGATAAGGAAAGAATACCGAGACGAAGACGAAAAGAGCAAAGGAAGACGTGATAAAAAAGAAAGATATGATTGAGAGAAGGGGTGAATGAAGAAAAACTGTTTAACATGTTCGTGTAAGCGTATATTGTATGAACTTCTGTATATAGTGGATCTATTTAAATTTGTGCGCGGAGAATGAGAGAATTTGCGGGCTGGCCAATTATTAGTCATGCAAAGTTAGCCGAAAGACCTGGAGGAATCGTTCGTGGAGCTGATAGTAGGCAGCAAAGCCGTAAGCGATTTAAGCCCGGGCCTCGGCTTGCTTCAGTGAACTTGAAGGTTGTATAAGCGTACACATCGATATGAGACTAGCCGGGAAGGGGAGAAATAACGCGTGCGAAGGGTGGAAAGTTACAAACGAATGCGTGATGGCGATGGTGATGGTGATGGTGATGAAACTCGTAACTATAACTAACAAAAAAGCAATGTAATAAGATTACACAAAGGTGTGTCTAAGAAGGACGACGTGAATAAAGATGTTATTTATACAAAAGGAACAAGCTGTTTTGTATAGTTAATTACCTAATATTATCAATTACCGACACTGACACCTATTATAACTTCGCCTCTGCCATCTCCCGACTTTCCATACGGTACTTATTGGAAGATGCATTCAATTATTATTATTATTAATGACTACGCCAATAGACATAATTCCGTTAAGTGTATTTCTATTTATTCGTATAGTGATAAAATCGTTGTCCTATAAATTCCCAACGGTATCGTCTATCCCATTTGTTCAATCCAGAAAGTGGAGGACCTCACATGTAATATGTACATTAAAATTACCATTCAATTCCTATTAGGTTCTCAAAACGTTGAGAGTAGTTTGATGCGAAGCTTAAAAAGTGTCTCAGCTGCAATCACTATCTGCTGCACCGTCCATGTGCCCGCCGACTTAGAGGCGCGAAGTTCGTATCTGACCGCTAGTTTCAGAGCCCAAATTCATACTGCTGGAACAGAATTTCAGGTACGACATTAAATGCTGTAGATAGTGGCATGCTGAACTGTTTCGAAGTAGATTGGCTGAACGATATTAAAGCTTACGTCATTTGTAGAAGAGATTATGTATAAGAATATACAATGCCAAATAAGAAATTAAGGTTACTTAAAATCATCGCTTATTTGATTTTGTCTTCGTTGAGTTAACTGGTATTTCTCCAGTTCGTCTAAAAGTTGTGCTTTCTCGTCAACTTGTCGATAGCGAACATTTGTTACGTGAGTTTATACGCCTATTTGTCAGGCAAACCATAGAGCTGCTCGATGATTTGCGTCATTATGGAAAATAGTGTTGTCACCCTGCCAAAAAACATCACCCTGACCTTACGTCTATAATTGCCAGACGCACCACAGCCACTGAACTCGTCACTTGCGCGAAGTCATTTTTGAACTTGAGCTGAAGCCTCCAACAGAATTCATCTAGCAGTGCTGTCCGCGTTGGCGTCTCGAGTTCGAGCATAGGTTTTGGTGCGTCCGAAATCTCAGAGAAAAGCCACTTCAACCACGAAGACAAAGTGCGTCATTTCATATAACAAAGGGTAAACGGCCATCAATGAACGTGTCAAATCATTCAGTAGAAAACTTAACTCGGACAAGTTCCTAGGAAATTCATAAAAAAAATAACCTCTCATAATATCTCAAAAGAATGAGGAGAATATCACTCATACATCTATGGGTACGCTTCCACATAGCCTCGAACTGTTTCAATGAGATCAGATATATCTTGTCATATAGCTCATTGGAGCCGCCATACTTGAACTGATGCTGTTTCAAAATATCTGTCAATTCAAGCCCGAACTGTCCTTAATGGGACGACAGTGAACCATCAGTGAGGCTACTTCCCAGTCATAAAAACGTTTGTTACAGACGGTTTTGGCGGAAAGATTGCAACCAAATACACTAATGCCCAGTGCTTAAAAAAGGTCGTGAGAACGATCGATTGAATCGAATAGCGGCACCTTTAACCTGACAATTTAAGCGAATAAATTATGGGTGTTTTATAGTTTCGTAGTATCTTGAAGAATAATCAGACGTCTTCAACGACATAGGCAGCATTCAATAGCTGTGTAAATGGTTCGCAGGTTCAGGAGAAAAAAAAATAAACATCGATCTTCGTTATGTAAAGCTAAATATTTCACTTGTAGGTATATTACCTTACAAGTAGGTTGCACAAACATTCGCGATAAACCACTTTTGAACGTCTCAATGAACAATTGTATTGAAGTGCGTTATATCGCAGATACGTTTAGGTGGCACTATAAAGCAACTTGACCTCCTTACGTTATGTGAACATTTGGTGGTGGGCAAACCCGTTGCAAGGAAAAGGCTTATAGGCTTAGTTCACAAAGTATAAAAAAAAAAACCGGTGTTGAACTAATGTTTCAAGAATCGTTTAGAACTACACGATATAAGTTTGAAGGCTCTCAGAATCAACTGGGATCGTTGTTAAGAGCTGAGCCCTGGGTAAGTATTACCTAAGAGTAGAACCAAGATGGGCAAACTAGTTACAACTTGATTAGTAAGGTCTCTGCTAATGAGCGTAAAACATTTCGTATTAATTAGTTAGAATGAATAGTGACGAATATTACGTATCCAAATTAGACGAACTAAAAGGTATACTGGCATGAGGCAACAAAATGCAACCGTAACAAAAAAGCATTTTACTTTATGGGTTGCTTGCTTACGACAGCCGAAGGTTCTACGTGCCTTTTCTCCTACCATGCTGGGTGCATTTATCCTCCAATAAATTGCCGTATTATTTTCGGTAAACGTAACGATGAGCAAGAAAAGCTGCTGTCGAAGCTACCTTCTCAGACAACCGAGAAATTCGGGATCCTCAAATAACACAAACAAATGTTTCATGTAAGTTATTTTCTGTGTTTCAAAGCATCGGTTATTCATATCTATGTTAACTCAATCAAAATATCCCTAAAGGTAACAAGCTTGTTAGAAGTAATATAATCAAGGTTTGCTGGCATGGCCGTAAAGCCCGGTTTATGTCTTTGGCTAAAAAATTCATTACTCGATATGTAGATATCAACAAAATTTGACAGCTTTTTTAAGGACATCGTCAGTGTATACACGTATAGCATGATAAAGTCGTTCAATCGCGACCCTCTTTCCATGGAGGCGCTGTAACGAGGTTCTGTGAGAATAAAAACTCGTGCTTATCGAAACTTCCTTCAAAGCAGATTAAAAATGGTTTTCTTCAAAGTTATCATCTATTGAGCTATAGCAGCGTCTGACTTGATCTCTCTCTAATTTTTCCTCGACAGGTAGTTACATCAATGAAGCGCGCAAGAACTGATTGTCCATTGATTTATTACTGTTCACTCTTAATCTTATGATAAGTCTCAGATGCTTATTGGTGATAATAATTTTATTTATTTTGGGAAACAGTTGCAGGTCACAATTTAATCGATTTACAAAACATTCCGTAGCTTTACGTGTTCAGTGAACACCATCAATTTTATGCAACCGTCCACCTAACCGCACAAAGTCTTCATCTGAAATTGCCTTACCGTCTTTGCATAGTTTTTGGAGAACTGCGGGCCAGTTTTATTAGCATGCAAGCAAGCTGGAAATTCTGATATGATAGGCCTTGAACCCGTACATAGAAACAGTCGAAATGTTCGTAGGTAATGCCGCGCATGTTCTTGAAAACGTCGCATTTGAAAATAATCTTATTCCAAGGAGAAAACAAGTTAGCTCTCTGTGTCTATGAGCGAAAATTAAATCTAATAAACTATGTAATAGTTACTTGTCTACATTTGTATATCGACCTACGGTAAAATAAAAGTAAATTAAAAAAAAAAAAGATAAAATAATCGCTCGATACACTGAGTAGACTTAAATAGTGTACTATAGATTTATTAATAAAATGATATTACAGGACTGTATATCTTTGAGAACTTACGTCTTTAGATGTCTTACTCTATGAATTGTTCAAACAGAGTGCTACATTTCAGGAGCTATTTTTTTTTTTGCTGTGAATTCATAGACATCGTCATGTTGGCACCGCTTGCAACGGAGGTCCAATTTTGAACAGTTTAAACTGCGTTTTTTTCACTAATATCATGTCAGCTCCGTAAGTGTGCGCCAGCTGCTACTTCCATCCTAAACTACATGAAATAGGTGTATCCGTAGTACCATTTATATGTATTGTTTTTAAACGCATCCCTTCTTTCACGAAGACTAAACTTTAAAAAAGATGAGACAAAACACTGGATGGCCACACTGTCGATTCCGCACAAAAACGGTCGGAATAGAAGTCTTAGTTCGTTTGTTATATAATACATATTTGCTCATACTTGTTGTTAGGTAAATAGGTCAATATTACATAGAAAAGACTGTTTATTATCTTATACCACTAACCGGAAGGGAATGCTTTTTATGTAAAAAGCTTTTTGTGGAGCACCCGATTTAGTTAGTGACGATAACCAGGAACGTACTTATCGTAAAAGCGCTATTTTTTTTTTGTTAAATAAAACTTTAACTTGATTTTGCAACTTCTATTATTTTTAAAAAAACTTTATTTGGTTGTTCATGTCAAGTTACGATGCTATATTTTGGCACAATCGCCCCATATGCAAATATGAAGATCGTTTTAAAGGTTAACCAACAATTGGTATTTCACAAGATGTTTTGTCTTTTATGCCTAAAACACTTAGTTAGTCTTAAACTGTGTTAAAAATTGGATCCTTATAATACAGAACGAAATGGACGCTGCAGTATTAGATTGTAAAGAATCACACCTGCCGATAATTTGTCATTTTTTAAGAGGCAAACAGAATGTGCCTCAGATAAATGAACGCCGCCAGGATACGTTGAGTGATATCCCGAGTAGCCGACAAACTATATGGTGATAACTACTGATGAAAACAGCTTCGGCACACTAAGCTCCCAGATTCTGAAAAGATCGTCTTATCTCTCCTAACAGGTGCCAACGGGTTGGAACTACTGAGGCATCACATCACCCTAGAATAATCTGTTTTTTTTTTGTGAGACGTCTAATTTTACATAATAAATACATATTTAGATTGTTTTGATAAGCTTATGCGATGTTGAACCGTTTTCTACAAAATTTAAAATTACACTGATGTTTGAACAAGCGCCAACAGTAGCTAAACAACTGTCTATAGAGTATATTCTGGAGCCTTCTATGTCTAGCATTTAAACCTTTAGGCATTATTTCACACCGCTGACCGCTCTGAATATGACATCATCATAAAGATCCTCAACGAATTTTAGAAATCCCGAATTACCGATCTTACACCACAACGCGAACGCATTAACTTGCTTTAACAATCCATTTATATACCGTGTAATACGCCTTTCATTGTATCCCGCAAGTGCCCCTAAATCGATGGCTCGCTCACTAGACCGAGCTCGTGCGGAGCAAAAATGATGAAAAATCAGTCCGAGTTATTTAACCAGCCAACCAACGATATCGAGAGATACTTGAAATTCAATAAATATCAATTCGACCATCGAAATCATCCCGAAATGCGGTCTATTGGTGTATGTACTGCGTAATTTTGCTTGCTGGGTTAGGTTACCCAATCGGTACAATCCTCCTACCCAGAATGAGCTATACGCCTGTCAAGAAGCTATAGAAATAGAGGGACATTGCTTTGAGCGTAAATGTGGTGACCAGTGCTGATAGACTAACCAACAAAAGAATATTCCAGTTCGGTACTATATGCATAGCTCTCGATAAAGTGAATTACCATTCGTCTCTTGCTTGTACCGTTGGTCAACGTACTCAAAATTGGCAACAACGATACGCAATCGGGTGGGTTAAATAGTTTTATTGGCTGAAAAAGCCGCCACACGTAATGGACCAGATGGAAAATCTTTGTCAAGCCCTTCGAAGGGTTGTGGCATCGGCCCAGCTGCTGCGCGAAGCCATGCGTAAACACGAGTCTCATTTTGATTGGAGGTCGGCCGTAGATTATCCAAACATTGAGCAAATACGACACAATGCAGCTCAGGAATTTTTAGGCTTCTGCGTACCTTTCTGTGCTGACCTACATAATCTTATCGTTCAATTGAAGGCTACTGGATTCTTCTATCGCGATGAGGATTGGCTTCAGGGGCTCTATTTCCGGCTTAATAAAAATCGGTACATTTGTATGATTTTCACTCAGCTTACGGGTTCACTCGACGTCATTATGTGGACAGCGGAAGATCTGGAAAATCGTATAAAACAGGCGATGGCTGAGGGGAGCACGGCAACGGCGTTAGCAAGGGGTAGGACGCATCAGGAATTCCTCTTGCTAAACGGTCGAGTTCAGTGTTTTGGCGCAGGGTTCAACATTTTTTTGAGGGAGGTTAGTGTACCAGATCGTGTACAAGAGTATGTATTCGAGCTAAGGGTGCTCGTGCACATCAATGAAGGTGGACAACGTGTAGGTTTTCCGTATATCATCGGAGAAGTTGAACCTCCTTCGATAGCGCAATTACCATGGAATACGGGTGAACCTGGACTACGAGGACATCAGCCTGAAGTGTCCATAGATGTGTCTGAACCATCTATCGCTGTCTCTGAACCATCTATCGCGGTGTCTGAACCGTGCATCGATGTGTCTGAACCCACCGTCGATGAGGCCGGATTATCTATCGAAAAGTGTGGTTCGTCTACAGATCAGCATGACTCCCACGACTCGAGTAAGGCTGCCTCGCCACTTGAGTGATAACCTGATTGTAAAAGGAGAACATTAAAATTTACGAAGGCCATCGCCACTGTTGAAGTGAGCTAAGTATTTCGAGCGATTTTTCTAGCTGTGTCAGTGTCGTAGAAAGCGCCTACAATTGTACTCTCATTTATAAGATCGGCGGAAAATATGGTTTCTATAAAATCCATTTAGAGGGTGACGTAATCAACTATTAAGTAGACCAGAAGGATTGCAACACTTGCCTATGCGCTGGACCTCTTCCAATTGCAGCTGTGACTTATTTGTCAGTATAGCTCTTAGCCCAAAAGTCCTCCTAAATAAAGTGATAATTGCGGAACCTTTCAGTTTCAGTGGCTAAATCATTTAAATAAGCGATAGGCTTATTTAAATGATTTGGCAGTTCGGTATTTGCTGTTATTCAACATAATAATTGTGGATCATAGCATACTGGTCTTTAAGAGTGAAGTCAATTATGATAGTTTAGCGGATTTCAGCTGTAGCGTATAGATCTGAAGGCTTCTTCCTCGGTTCGACTTGATAAATTCAAGTGAATTTTAAATTTTGACACAATTGAGTGATCTTATCAACTTGTATTTAACGACGTTTTACACATAGAAGTCTTGTACATAGGCCAGTCTGCTTCGCAGGTTGTCGATCTAGCCAGCAGGATTTACAACAGCTAGAACGCTATCCGTCCTTAGGTACATATGGCCTGATTCGATCCAACGGGAGTCAAAGGACGTGATGCGTTTCTATAGCTTTAGCAACAGCTTCATTCAATATTGACGCTAGTTGGGCGTGGTTTCCTGTTCTCCCACAGTGGAAAGCGATGCCTTAGCCGGTGTAAACACGCTAAAACGGCAAGGGCTGCGGGAGTTGCAAAACTGTAACCTAATGAAGGTAAATGGCAGCGTTGTCGATCTGCTAGGTATGCTTAGTACATATAAAAACTAGGCGAAATAACTAACGTAAGTTTATTTCCACACCCATCGGCGTACACGGCGTAGCATTTTATAATCTAGCGCCATCACGTTCCACTACGGACAATGCGGTAAATGCTGTTAGAAATTTAATGGAATCTATACCTAGGTGTCGGTTTTATCCTGGGCGATGAGTGCGCGTGACTTGATCATTATTGGGTTCGTGCTTAGGCTACGCTTAATGTAGTCTCTTGGGGGATAAGTCGCAGAAACTACAGCAACTGATCAGGTAAACAACTATTCTGTATTAATTAACAACCTTCAACGATGAGTGGTTACTTACCTGAGTGGAGACCTAAAGCGGCGTGTCAACCACGAACTGGGCTCCACTGCGATTTTAGTTCATAATTGTAATTATAGATGAATAACTTCAACTTAGAAAAGGCATGCAAACTCTATGATGGCTATCAGGCCGTACAATTAGACATCCTTTCGAAAATGAAAACAACTTTACGTAGAAAAAAACAGTAGCAGTTCCACTAACCACCCCTAACTTGAATAAAATGCAGGGCTTTAATAATGCATATATTTTAATTATGTTGTCACGACTGACGTTTTGACGATTTAAGCAAATCAAGATAAGGCTGAACGGTTCCTTCCAAAATTCGTTCGAAAAAAAAAATAGACTCTATATCCATGTGTAGTAATAATGAAAAATGATCTGGCTTTTTTCGGTTACTTAATTAGAACATTATGGTTCTCTTCTTCCTAAAGATTCAAGGAAATAGAAAGCAGATTGGCATATAAACGCTTCTATTTAATATTATACGTGTTTGGCCATTGTAAACGATTCCAAGTTCCTACCTCGTTTTTGGATGTGCAACGAATATCCCCTGATATCCTATGTACTATAGTACTATTTGGAACAATAATCACGTTTGTGAACAAGGATGCCTCTGTATGCCCGTACATTTGACTTCGTTTACTGAAAAACAGAACTATGACAGCATGCTTGTTTCAAGCAAACCGAGAAGCTTTCTTCCAGCCTTCGTCGAGAGCGTGTCTAGCCAAAGCGTCATACTGTATCTATGTGATACGCTGCCATACACTGGGCCGGCGATCCGCACCCGTCGTGCATCTCGCTGTATATAATGTCAATATATTTTTATGCTATTCGGCATACGGAGTCATACGCATGCTAGTTTTTATCTTTTAGTGCTACCACTTTGCTTGCTTTGATGCAAGCCGGCAGTTGTTGGGACTGTCGACCCTGCCGGCCGAACAAGATTCTAGCAAGCAGGTTCTTCTGTACCTTTTTAGCAAGCCAAAGACGTACCAAGCGGCATCGCTGGCTTCTCAGTCTGTGCTGGGCAAAATTCAACAAGTTCTCTTCAAGCTGACGTCCTTTAGTCAGACGTCACAGCCCGGTATGATTT